TTTAAGTGTTTGTTGGCAGAGCCTCTTAAAAGAGCTGTGAGGTTTTTGCTGCTAATACTGAGTCAGGAAGTCTCTCGTAAAGGAGCTGCACCTCTGCTCGCTGCCAGCAAACAGAAGCCACCAGAGACAATGCTGCTATCAAAACACCATGCTTAACTCTGTTCTTTTTTGTCTAGAATTCCTTCCCGAGCTCTCTCACGTCTTATGTGGATGTAGTTGCACCAAGGTGGTGTCATTTGTAGAAGGAGACTGTGCTTTCATTTCGCAGACACCCAGACCCAAATAATCACACAGAAACTATGTTAATTACAATACTGTTTGACCAATAGCTCAAGCATATTCCTAGCTAGCTCTTATAACTTAAATTAACCCAGACAGTGTATATTGTTTTACTATATTCTTATGGAATATGCATAATTTTTATTTTATATGATTATTTTAATATAGAAATAAATTTTTATTGATAATTATAATATGTGAGATACTTATATAAATTTACTTTTCTTCTGAAATGTATAAGCTACTACCCTAATTTGTAAAGATAGCCTTTCATTGGCTATTTTTTAAATTTTATGTATTTATTTATTTTACATCCCAACTGCATTTTCCCTTTCTTCCTCTCCTCCCATTCCTTTTTCCACATCACCTCTATTCCTCTCTCGCTATTCACTCCTCCTCTGTTTCTGTCCAGAAAGGGGCAGGCCTCCCATGGTTATCAACAAAGTATGGTATATCAAGCTGCAGTAAGAATAAATACCTCCTCTTGTATTAAGGCTTGGCAAGCAACCCAGTATGAGGAATAAGGTTCCAAGAACCTGCCAAAGCATTAGGGATGGCCTTTACTTCTATTGTTAGGTGTCCCACAAGTAGTCCAAGCTACAGAGTTGTCACATATATGTGGACAGCCTAGGTTTATACCATGCAGACTTCTTGGTTGTTGGTTCAGACTCTGTGAGTTTCTATGGGCCCAGGTTAGTTGTTTCTGAGGGTTTTCTTGTGATGTCCCTGATCCCTCTGGCTCCTACAATTCTTCTTCCCTCTCTTCAGCAGGATTCCCCGAATATGGTCTCATGTTTGGCTGTGGGTCTGTGTGTCTGTTTTCATCATTTACTGGATACGACTCTCTGCTGAGTGCATAATCACCAATCTAATCACAGGAGATGGTCAGTTCAGGCTACGAAACTACTATTGTTAGGTGTCTTAGCTGGAGTTATCCTTGCAGATTCCTGGGAGTTTTCCTTGCATCAGGTTTCCATCTGACCCTGAAATACCCCCCCCCACTTCCAGTCATCTGTTTTTAGTACTCCCCTCCATCCATCATCCCAGTGCAATTTCTGATGCTCCCATCACCATCTTCTCTCTTCTGTAAACATTAATAATTATTCTAATAATAATTTTCTTCCGTTAATCTAACATAGACACACACACACACACACACACACACACACACACACAGACACCGACACCTGCTATTTCCACTTCCTAGGGATATCTACAGTCTACATTCCTCTTTGATCCTCCTTGTTACCTAACTTCTCTGTGTGGATTGCAGCATGGTTATTATTTACTTAATAGCTGATATCCACTTTTGAGTGAGTATATACCATGTTTGTCTTTCTCCATCAGGGTTACTTCACTCAGCATGATTTTCTAGTTCCATCTATTTGCCTGCAAATATCGTGATTTCATTGTTTTTAAATAGATGAATAATACTCCATTATGTAAATGTACCATATTTTCTTTTGCCATTCTTCAGTTGAGAAGCATCTAGGTTGTTTCAGGTTCTGGCTATTGCATGTATAACTTCTATTAGCATAGTTGAGAAAGTGTCTTTGTGGTATGATTGACCATCCTTTGGGTATATGCCCAAGGGTGGAATGACTAGGTCTTGAGGTAGACTGATTCCCAATTTTTTGACAAACTATCATATTGATTTCCAAAATGGCTGTACAAGTATGAACTCCCACCAGGAGTGAAGGAGTGTTCCCATAACTCTACATCCTGTCCAGCATGAACTGTCATTTGCGTTTTTGATCTTACCATTCTGACAGGTGTAAGATGGAATCTCAGAGTCCTTTGATTTGCGTTTTCCTGATAGCGAAGGACACTGAACATTTATTTAGGCTTTTTCTGCTAGTTGAGCTTTTTCTGTTGAGACTTCTCTTTTTATGTCTGTACTACATTTTTAAATTGGATTATTTGGGTTTTGATATCTTGTTTCTTGAGTTCTTTATATATTTTGAAGATCAGACCTCTGTTGAATATGGGGTTGGTGAAGAACTTTTCCCATTCTTTATGCTGCTGTTTTGTTCTTTTGATGGTATTCTTTGTCTTAGAGAAGTCTTTCAGTTGCATGAGGTTTAGTTTATTAATTGTTGAGCTTAACAATAGCATACTGTCTATGCCACTAGTATTCTGTTCAGGATGTTGTCTCCTGTGCCAATGTGGTCAAGACTATTTTCTACTTCTTTTCTACCAGGTTCAGAGTATAACTGGGTTTATCTGAGGTCTTTGGTCTACCTGAGTTTTGTGTGTGAGGATAGATATGGATCTATTTTCATTCTTCTATATGCCACCATCCAGTTATGCCAGCACCATTTATTGAAGATAATTTACTTTTTCCAAAAAACATGATCATCTTATTTGATCATGAAGGGGTGTTGGAATTTGTCAAAGACTTTTTCAGCATCAAATAAGATGATCATGTTTTTTTTTTTCTTTCAGTTTGTTTATATGGGGGATGACATTGACATATTATTGTGTTTTGAACTGTCTTTGCATATACAGGATAAAGTCCACTTGATTATGGTGGATGATCTTTTTGATGTGTGTTCTTGGATTCAGTTTGCCAGTATTTTATTAACTATTTTTTTCATCAATGTTCATAAAGGAAATTGGTGTGTAATTTTCTTTCTTTGTTGAGTATTTGTGTGGTTTGGGCATAAGGGTAACTGGCCTCATAAAAAGAATTTGGCAATGTTCCTTTTGTTTCGGTTTTGTAGAATAACTTGAGGAGTGATGTTATTAACTCTTCTTTGAAGTTCTGATAGAATTCTGCACTGAAACCATCCAACCCATGGGCTTTGTTTGGTTGGGAGACTGTTGATGACTGTTTCTATTTTCTTAGGAGTTATAGGTCTGTTTAAATTGTTTATCTGATCTTGATTTAATTTTGATAAGTGGTATCTATTAAGAAATTTGTCCAACTCTTAGATTTTCCAACTTTAGGGAGTACAGGTTTTTGTAGTATATCTGATGATTCTCTTGATTTCCTCAGTGTCTGTGTTATGTCAATTTTTTCATTTCGGATTTTGTTAATTTGGATATTCTCTCTCTGCCTTTCAGTCCTCAGTTTGAGTCTTTCCTGCCATCCACTCCTCTTAGATGTGTTTGCTTTTTTGTTCTGGAGCTTTCAGGTGTTCATTCTGTTAAATCATTAATATGAGATTTCTACAAATTCTTTATGCAAGCCGTTAGTGCTATGAACTTTTTTCTTAGCACTGCATTCATTGTGTCCCGTAAGTCTGGGCATGTTGTACATTCATTTCCATTAACTTCTAGGAAGTTTTTAATTTCTTTCTTATTTCTTTCTTGACCTAGTGGTGATTCAGTTGAGCATTACTCAGTTTCCATGAGTTTGTAGGCTGTAAATCATGAATTCTAGTTGGTCTTAATAATAAAAACTCAAGGTCAGCTATCAGGTTGAAAGCTGAAGGATCAGAGAAGCAACACAGCCGTTGCTAGAGTGTCCTTACCTCTACCAGTGTCCAAATCAAAGGGGCAATCCTGTCCTTAGACTGCATCCTCAGAACGACGGCATCCTCAGACTGCATCTGTCTTTCCAAAACCCCAGACTGCGCTGTGCTCCTGTCTCCTCCCGCCTTACATTCTTCTCTCCACCCAGCCACATCACTCCCCTCTCCACCTCGCTAGTTCTGGGATTAAAGGCGTGTGATCCCAAGTGCTGGGATCACCTCGCTGTGAGCTCTGTTTCTCTTTTAGACTGGGTCGATTTTGTGTCGCCCAGGGCAGTCTTGAACAAATAGAGATCTATCTGCTTCTGTCTCTGGAGTGCTGGGTTTAAAGGTGTGTGCTACCACTGCCTGGGCGGTTTGACTGACTACTGTGACTGGCTCTGAGTTCTGATCTTCTGAAAAGCTTTATTTGTTAGCTCATAAAGAAAACATCACCACAGTAGGCTTTCTGTGATTTGTGTTAGTGTTGAATTCTAACTTTAAGACATGGTGATCCAATCAGATAGAGGGTTTATTCCAATCTTTTTATGTTTGTTGAGATTTGCTTTGTGACTGAGTATGTGGACCATTTTAGAGAAGATTTCATGAGGTGCTGAGAAGAAGTTATATTATTTCGTATTTGTGTGGAATGTTCTTTAGATTTCTATTAAATCCTCTTAAGCCATAGCATCTTTTAGTTTCATCATTTCTCTGTTAATTTTCTATCTGGCAGACCTGTCCATTGGTGAGAGTGAGGTGTTGAAGCCTTCCACTGTTAGTGTGTGAGGTTTGATGTGTGATTTAAGTTTTAGTGATTTTTTTTTAACATATATAGTTGCCCTTGTATTTGGGGCACCAATGTTCAGAATTGAGACTTCTTCTTGATGGATTTTTCTTGTGATGAACCTGAAATGTCCTTCTCCATCTCTTTGATTAATTTTAGTTTGCAGTCTACATATTCACACACCGTGACATGTGCTCTCCCCACCTAACAAATGGATATAAAAATGAGTGTAAGACGAGTTGAAACTGTCTTTCTGGCTTGTGCCACAGTTCTGTTCCCTTCTGGGTTTTGAGCTTCTCTGGAGCACCTGTGCATATTCTGTTAGAGGTTCTGTAACATGGGGATAGTAAAAGATTCTCCCCTGTAGAGCTGTGGTGAGAACTGAGTTAATGATAATTAAATAGTCAGCTGTGAACGCACTGTCTTTAGGATTTGTAACAATTTGTTCTTCAATTACTGCCTGAATATTTTTGTTTCAACAGCTTTGATTACTGTCCTTGCAAATGACGATGGCCCTGGGGTTCTGTCCTTTAACAACACTGGGCACATTTTCCTCAGAGAACCAACGTCTCTCTACATTCAAGAGAGTGTTGCAGTGTTAGTCATCATTCGGGAGCCTGCACAAGGTCTGTTTGGAACGGTGGCAGCTCAGTTTGTTGTGACGGAAGTCAACTCTTCAGCAGAATCGAAGGATCTGATTCCTTCCAAAGGCTTCATTGTTCTAGAGGAAGGTGTTCGGTCCAAGGTAGAGTATGAATCTTTAATATTGTTAATGAGAACTCAAGGTTATCTTTAGTATTTAAAAATAATATGCTTAGAAATGTGCTACAAATTCTCAAGAAACAAAGCAAAGTGCAACAAAACAAAAACTCTCTTAATGGAGCAAAGCCCCGTTCTAGGGTGCGGGGCTCACGTTACAGTGTTAGAAAGTGTACACAGAGATGGGGGGACATTTACTGTTAATATGGTAGTGGAGTGTGGAAGAATAAAATGTGTGGTTCACATTTTAGAAATTAAACCCACTTCAATGGTATTCTTCCTTTTTACTGTCTGTAAGAACATAAGGGAAAGGAAACTTCCATCCTTGTCTGCCTGCCGCATTTTAGTGAACAGACATAACTGCTTACTCTGGGCTACAGATACAGAAGTCGGAGCAGTTGAGAACAATGCTAGATTTGAAATTAGTTATGAATGCAATCTATACTCAAAAACAAAACCCACATACCTTCCAACATTCCTTTTCTGTAAATACTAACATTTTTTGGTTTGGGGTATTCAATTCTATTAAAAACATATTCTTTAGATTTATTTTATTTTTATGTGTATGGGTGTTTGCCCGTATATATGTGTGTGTACCACTTGTGTTCCTGGTGCCTGTGGAGATCTGAAGGGAGGCCTTGGATCCTTTGGACATAGGATTACAGATGGTTGTGAGCTGCCATGCGGTTGCTGAGAATTGGACCCACATCCTCTGGAAGAGCAGCCAATGCTCTTGCCCACTTGTGCCATCTCTCTACCCCCTCAACTTTGAATTTTTAGGTACAGTTAAAAATACTTGATTACATTAAATTACACATTTTAGAGTGAAACACAGCACTACATGAGTATAGCGACAGTGATTTCACATTAGAGTCCACCTGTTAACTGAGAGGTCTCTGTTTTCTGTGCTGTAGGTTGGACCCGAGGCCTTTTGATTGCTGGCTAACTCAGCTACATCCTCAGTCCTTTTGTGTCCTCTTGCCTGGTCATTTGCTCTGTGTAATTGTGCTGTAGTTATGTTGATGTCTTCCACAGGACACTCTGGGAGCACGTGATTCTCCCTATCCATAGCTGGTTCTTTCCCATTACTGTACTGGGTTCCACTGCTGAGATCACAGAGCATTTGATTAGTTCTAGTTTGTACCCACTCTGCTTGTCCTTGCTTCTTGAGAGCCATTTACAGATTGGGATGAGGTTAAGGAAATTATGTAGCCTGGATAGGACAAAAGGTCAGAAATCAGCTCATGTATCTAACGTTGTGGTCAGTGTTTGATTTGTTTTGAAAACTTAAGAAAGATTTATTTTACTTTAAAATTATGCATATGTATTGCTCTGTATGTGTCTGTGGGCCAGAAGAGGGCATCCAATTTTCTGGGTCTAGGGTTATGGGCAGTTGTGTACTCCCTGATGTGGGTGCTGGGACTAAGTTTGGGTACTCTGGAATACACATCAGGAAGTCTTACTGGTGGAACAGTGGCGCCATCTCTCCATCCCCAATCACTGTCATTGTCATCAACGGTCACTTTCCAGCTTTTCAGACACTTTAGGGCAGCAGATCACAGGGTTGAAAATCTCCAAGGAAGTAGCTTGAAACAATTGGAGTCATCCAAAGAATCAAATGTAAATAGAAGTCATGTTTGAAAGCAAACGTTGTCAAAAATGTTTAGTAAATTTTCCACGTTTGTTTTGAAAGGAATCGCATCTGAGTAACTTTGTTTGTCTTTTGTTTCCAGGCTCTGCACATCTCTGCCGTACTAGACACGGAACCGGAACTGGACGAGCATTTTGTCTGCACCCTATTCAATCCAACTGGAGGTGCTAGACTAGGGGCCCATGTCCAGACCCTGATAACAATTCTGCGAAACCAGGCCCCTTTGGGGCTGTTTAGTATTGCTGCCGTTGAGAATAGGTATGGGCTGTTTACAACACATTGCCGTTTTGAAGAAAAATAGGCACCACTCGAACGGAGGAGATGTAGAAAAAAAACTAATGTCTGGGTAGTTTTTAAATGTCTAGGAGTGTACAAATATTTTTATTTCATAAAATAATTAAGGGATCTAACTTTATTAATAGGCTAAACATCACCTACTTCACTTATTTCTCAGCAGACATCTGAGTTATGTGAGAAGAGAGTTCAGAATGGCAACATTGTTTGACTGTATATTGCAATGTGACAGACATTTAATCATTGTTATGATAAGAGCATTGGAGTGTTTCATTTGTATTTTTTATTTAAAAATATCCACCAGTAAATACTTTTGAATACTAGAGTCTAGTCTCTACAGCCCATACATTTGTGGGTCTCAGTAAGGGTGTACAAACTTTACTGAGTAATAGTCTGGCAGTGTGATATGTATGTTGAATATGTAAAGATTATACTTCTCCAAAATCCACTTGTTTTTCTTTTAGCGCTACCTCTATAGATGTTGAAGAATCCAACAGGAGTGTATACCTCAATGTCTCACGTACGAATGGCCTTGACTTGCCTGTGAGTGTGCAGTGGGAGACAGTGTCTGAAACAGCTTTTGGCATGAGTACGTTCAGCTTTGTTTCCATGAACTGTATATTACTGGTCTATTACCAAGAGAACAGGACTCGATTCTGTTATTGTATCCACAATATTTATTGTGCATTTCACCTTGCAAAGCTTAGAATTTAGACATCGCTAGAAATAAACATAGAAAATAAAAGTAAATTTGCATTGCAAATGATAATTATGCTTTAAAGGGGAAATTGAAAGGAGTAAAATGTGAGGGCTGAAGAGACGGCTCCATAGTTAAGAGCACTGATTCTCTTCCAGAGGACCTGGGTTTTGTTCCTAACACCCACGTTAGGAAGCTCACAACTGCCTGTAACTCCAGATACAGGGGATTTGACACCCACTTCTGGCCTCTGTGGGCACCCATACATGGTATATATTCAAACAAACGCATGTATGCACATAAAATAAAAATACTAGCTAAGTACTTTTAAAGAGAATCAATGTTTGAATGAAGACTAACCAATGAATGGAGATTGGATGCAAGAAACTGCATAGGAAGAACTTGGAGACAGTAATGATAGGCTGCTAAGACTGGAGACTTGAGTTAGAAGCTGACATCTAAGAGAAGTCATTAAATGACAGTGAACAGAGACGTAAGAGAGACTATTGCTCTTCATTAGTTAGGTGAGGCTGTGTCATTAAACAACTTGAAAAGTAGTTCTTGAATGCTAATGTTCATCCTTGGCTTACTGAGAAGATATGAACAAAAATGGTGTGGTATGACCGTATTTATATTTAATAGATATTGTCCATAGTGTCATGGAGGGAACTGTTTGTATAGAAGGGAAGAAAGGATGCAGACTAATGACCAGGGAGTGTAGTAGGAGACCACTTGTTCATTTCCCAGCCGCCCAGACTCCCGAAATAATCACGTGGAAACTATATTATTTGCAATACTGTTTGGCGAATAGCTTAAGCATATTGCTAGCTAGCTAGCTCTTACATCTAGATTTAACCCATTTTCATTATTTTATATTTTACCACAAAGCTTGTAGCCAATGGAAAGGTTCTGACTAGTGGCACACGTCTTTCCCCTTTGGCGGCTATATGGCGTCCTGACTCTGCCATCTTCCTCCCAGCCTTCAGCTTTGTTTTCCCTGCCTACCTCTGTTTTTCCCTGCTATAGGTCCAAAGCAGTTTCTTTTTTAATCACTGATTGTGGCGCACCCATTGACCAGCAAGGAAGAACGACCACGAAGTTGAGGATCCTTCTCAAATCACACTTTATTGGAGCCTCTTGGTTGAAGGGAGAGTGGAAGCGAGAGAGAGCAGGAAGTGAGAGAGAACGAGAAGTGAAAGAGAACAGAAGAGAAATAGAAAGCGAGAGAGAGAGCAGAGAGCGAGGAAGCGAGAGAGAGAAGGAAGTGAGAGAGAACGAGAAGTGAAAGAGAACAGAAGAGAAATAGAAAGCGAGAGAGAGAGAGAGAGCAGGGAGCGAGAGAGCGAGGAAGCGAGAGAGCGCAGGGAGAGAGGGAGAGCAGGAAGCCAAGCGGCAGCTGCTTCTATAGGGTGGAGGGACTCGGGTACTGTCCTGATTGATGAATACCATTCTGCTGGTGTCCGGGGCCTCGGGATTGGCCAGGGACAAAGGCTCAATTGCGCATGTACAAGCAAAGGGCGCTCAGCCCCATGCGGCAATTCCAAAGAAGGATTTGTTTACCTCCAAGCTGCAGGACCACCTGCGCCATCTTATAATGGCGATTTCTCCAGGTGGCTCCCTACAACTGATAATCACAGCATACAGAGAGAAACCCACATCAAAGGAGGCAGCAGGCTAGGTAGCTTAGACCCAGTGATGGATTGGATATCATGGTGAGTGAGATGCTGTGGATGAATCCAACTTTCTAGCTTACACCCTTGGGTGGAAGTTCATGCCATCACCTAAGAGAGACAGTTATGAAAGAGTTATTATTTGAATAAAGGATGTGGACTAAATGTGTTTTGTGTTTGAGTTAGAGTTGGGAAAATACTTTTCCAGATTAAATGGAAGTGCTGATAGATGATGAATTTAGGAAGCTTTGGCACATGTTTTATTGACACTCATGAAAATTAAGAGACTAGAGACTGTAACTAGATTTGGGACAAGCATGCAGACTAAACTTTGAAAAGGCTCTAATGTGTGGCTAGGGATAGGATAATGACCTAAGAAAGGAGGTTTGAAATGCTTGTGAGGAACCCAGTCATGCAGGATTGCTGACAATGGCAAAAATGAGTGTTGGGATTGAGAAACTGTGTCTCTTCACCTGGGAGTCCAGACTGGAACTCACTGCAGTGCTGATGGAAGAGGCCCAGGAAACAAAGACAGACTAAAAATTATGAAGAGAAATAGAAGGAGCATTAATGGCTAGGAAAGAGGAGACAACTCTGTATATGCGCACATACACCATCTATATGACCAGGTGTATAAAAGACAAGAAAGATTTGTATTCCACTTGGAGTTTTCTCATTATAGCTTTCTAAGCACTTCCAAGAGTGGGCAACCCAAATGGCAGCTGTTTAGTTTTCATTTCCCATCTTCTTGAGTTACAGGACTGAAGATTTGTCTGGAAATCAGTTTTCCTTAGGACTCTTAGTGAAAATGCTGTGGAATTTGTTTGAAAGGTTGCAAGATAAAGATGCAGTCTGTACTTTGAGAGAAGTCCCTAGTGGATACATGCATTGTGTCTCCTTGAATTAAAAGTGAATGATCAATACTAAGTGGTTGGTTTTGTTTTTCCTGTTCCATAATGGTCACATCATTAAAGTTTAAAAATAATTTACTTTGGGAAATAATCATGACAACACATGATAGAACTTGCGTGTATTTAAATAATGATTCCTTATTAATTATGAGTTTTAAAATACAGAATTATAGCAATTTGATAAAACCTTGAAGTGATTTGACGTGAGTCAGCATAGATATTCTGAAGTCTGTTTCTAAAGTAGAAACCAAGAAACCGTTGGATGAACAGACATTTAAAAATGTGAGATTAAGTTTGGTAGTACCATTAGCATGTTTATATAAGACATATTTATCATTTTCAAATTTCATTTGTTGTAACATGAGGGGTCCTGTTTGTTGGGGTTTCTGTCCTGCCCAGTTCCCCACAGCTGTTTAGCCCCAAAAGAAAACCACACAGAGATCTCTATAAGTTATAAAGCTGATTGGCCCATTAGCTCATGCTATTTATTTGCTCTTATAGCTTATATTAACCCATTGTTCTGATCTATGTTAGCCATGTGGCTCAGTACCTTTTTCAGTGGGGCAGATTACATCCTGCTGCTTCGGTGGCCTGGGCAGGAGTGAGAGGAATCAGCTTCTTCCTTCCCAAAATTCTTCTGTTCTCATTGCATCATTTCTATTTCTTGTCTGATTTTCCCATCTATACTTTCTGGCTGGCCAATCAACGTTTATTTAAAACATGATTGACAGATTGCAGACAATTCTCCTGCACCAATCTGTCCTTTGACAGTTTTTCAGAGAAGTTATTTTAGCATGTTCCTCTTTAAAATATTTAGTTAACATTTAGTTTTGAATGCACTTGGTAAAGATTGTAGGATATAGATCAAATACTTTAAAAAGTTATTTTTAGATACTGTTTTCAAGCTTCCGAGTGTCTATTCACTTTAACTTGCAGCTTGTGTATGCGCACACACACACACAGGCCCACACTCACACAAGGATATAGTCACAGACACACAGGCACATAGGCTCACAGGCACACAAGCGCACATGCACACACACCCACACACAAGCACATATACACACATGTACACACATGAACACAGATGCACACAGGCACACATACACAAAGGCACATATGCACACAGCTGCACACACATGAACACACACACAAGCATATATTCACACATATACACACACACACATACCAGCACACATGCATACAGACACACATGCGCACAGTTGCACACAGGCACGCATATACACAGGCACACTTGCACACAGGCACACACAATCACCATCATTTTCTTTCTGATATGCTCACTAGTTTCTTTACATAATATGTCAAATGAGATAAGGTTCAGGTGTGATTATATACCCATAAGTAATGATTTATCTTATTGTTTTAGGGGGAGTGGACGTTGTCTTTTCTGTATTTCAAAGCTTTCATGACCAGACTTCATCTGGATGGTGTTTCTTTATTGTCGAAGATTCAGTGTATGGTGTAATGTTAAGAAAATCATCCTTGGCTGTTTACCGATGGCAGGGGACTTTCCTTCCAGTTGAGGTAAACATCACCTTTTGCTTTATGGTACACAAAGTAAAATGAATGTAAAAATGTTGATATAGCATTAATTGTTAATATCATTTGTATTTCCTAGGATTTCAATATACAAAGTCCTAAAACTTGTGAGGCCTTTAATATTGGTGTTTCCCCCTACCTTGTCATTACTCACGAGGAGAGAAATGGAGAAAAGCCTTCAATTAATAGTGTATATACATTCACTTCTGGATTCAAATTATTCCTGGTAAAACATTTTTTTTTTATTTTTCTGTAGACTCTTTACTTAAGTGCAATTCAAATTGATAAGATTAATCAAAATGGATGATGAAATATGTTGTACTTTAAAGTAAAAATGAACTATTTTGCAATTGATGCACATTGTTGCAAATATCTTAATTTAAGGCTGTTTTTGTCTTCAGGTTAGACTTAGATTCCTAAGCATAACCTACCAATTAAACACATTCTCAGATCTTAAGGCGGGTGCTAATGCCTGCTGCTATTGCATCCTGTAGCTCCATTGCTAAAGACCTTTAATGATGTTTATTCCCACTCATCTGCAGGTCCAGACAATCATTATTCCAGGGAGCTGTCAAGTGCGGCATTTCACCTCCGGCCATCACGATTATTTCATCATTGCAAGCCAAAGAAATGATTCTGAGTTAACTCAGGTACGATTCTCTTGAAGTGAAATTTCCCTCTTCTAAAGCATGCTAATAAAATCTGTTCCTCTATGGTCTGTAGGATTTGTGTAACAAAAGCCATAATTTGATGGTGGTAGTGTGAAATCGTACTGATTGGGCATAGTTAGTTTTTGAAGACTAGGTTTAAAATAGATTTTCTTGAGGAGATAGAGAATAATCTAATAATAGTAGGAGCATTTGACTGAGTCTAATTGATTTGGGGATCACTGGATTGGAATCACAGCTCAACAGAAGGTGTCACTGAAGCCCCTGACCCACATTGCGAGTGGCTTTCAGGTCCCGCCACCCATCTCCCACGGCTCTGGCACTGACATCTTGTCATCTCAGTGCCTGCCTGGTGTTTCTTTGTCACTCAGGCTTCCGTACATGCTTGGTACCTCTTTGCTTCCAGCTAAGGGCTCTCCTGCAATGCAGTCGACTAGAAGGAAGCTTGCTACTTTCCACAGCACTCGAAATCCAGCCCCATTCTCCTTCCCATCACAGTGGGGCACGACTGTGGAAGCCTGGCCTCTCACACCAATGCCCTTCTTGCCTTCATAGGCTCTTATGATTTTCCCATGGTGCCCTTTCTCTCTCCTAGGGATTATTACAGTGAGCGTCATATTCAAGCCCTGCCCAGTTTAAAGAGAAAATTCATCTCTTTAATACTTCATTCTCTCTCTGTGATGTGAAGAAATCTCCCCTTCCCTGGCCTGAGTTCCATTGTCAACTTGACAGAATCAAGATAAGGTTAGACTTTGGGTGTGACTGTGAGGAATTATCTAGATTAGGTCACCTTCCGTCTAGCAGCACCATTCCACAGGCTGCAATTCTGGAGGAAACGGAAAAGGAAAAGATGCCATGAGCATCCATCTCTGTCTGCTGGCTGTGGATGCAGTGTGACCCGTGGCCTCCAGTTCCCACTGTCGTGCGCTCCCCACTGTGGGGGCTCTACCCTAGAACTGTGAGCCAAGATAAACTCCTCCTGCCCTGCAGGTGCTTCTCTCTGGTGCTTTATCATAACAACGAGATAAGTAGTAAATGTGAGCTGTGGGTCTCCTTGAGGTGACTGCACAAGGCAGCCGGTGTACCTCAGACTTAAAACATCTTTTCTCTAATTCTCTAATTCGATGTCTCTGTATTCTGTTGTTTGAAATCTGGTGAAGACATCAAGGCATCAAGGATTTTGTATTTTAAACTTAGTTCACTTCTCTTCTAATTTTTGTTTTCTGCTGCCATTACCACTCTCTATATTTTATACTGATCTTTTCTCAAATAACTTCTCTTTTATCCATTGTGTGTGCGTGCGTGTGTGCACACACACATACACACAAAAGAGGGATGTAGAAAGAAGCAGAGAGAGAGAAACTCAGTTTTATTAAGTTTTTATTATCACTACCCTCCTACCTAAACAGAAGGTCCAGGAGTGTGGGTCTGTGACCCTCTTAAATTGTCACAGGTGCTGAATTCTGGGTCCTGAGAGCTTTGTGTTTGAACTTTTCCTGCAGGTCTTCCGATGGAATGGAAGCATCTTTGTCTTACATCAGATGTTGCCTGTCCGAGGTGTGCTGGGCATGGCCTTGTTCAGCAGAGGAGGCGCTCTCTTCTTAGCCGTTTCCCAGGCCAACGTCCAACGAAATGTCCTTTTATTCACATGGTCTGGCAATCAGTTTACTAACTTTGCAGAAGTGTCGGTCAGTGGGATTACACAAGTGGAGGCTTTGTCTTCAGGCGATGATGTTTACTTAGTTGTTGCCAAAAATACCTTTTTAGGTGAGGAAATATGATGCTTCTAATGTGTGTACAGTTGCTACTGAAACTATACAGTATTATACTGTCTCTTTTATGTAAGATGTTCTCTTTTGATGAGTCATAGACTTTCTTGATTGAAAGCACTAAAGTCAGTAGAAATAGATTTTACCAAAAAAGGCTTTGTACCTGTGACCGTGTGCTGTGCTGAACCACCATTTTAAACTTAAATTCCTATAAGATGAGGAGTAGATGGATAATGTAAAAAAGTGTATAAAGATTTTATTGTCAGTTTTCCAAAAGTTATAATTTTATATGATTGTGCTTGGAGTATCATGGGAAATTTATAGAACTGATAGTGTCTAGTGACTTTTTATAAAAGTGATTCAGAATACAATCTACATTAGAGTACACATTTCATCCCATTCTTTCTTGTGGTGTGTCTCAATGTGTGTGCTTCATAAGACAGAACATGTCTCCTGGTATGCCTTAGTGTGTGTGAGTGCTTCATGTGACAGAACATGTCTCCTGATATGTCTCAGTGTGTGTGTGTGTGTGTGTGCGTGCTTCATGTGGCAGAATATGTCTCCTAGTGCATCTTAGTGTGAGTGCTTCATAAGACAGAGCATATCTCCTGCTGTGTCTTTCTGTGTATGTACTGATACTTCATTTGTATTTTTAATAAATAAAGCTTGTCTGAAGTTCAGAGAGTGAAACAGCTACCCTGGTCAGCCTTACAGACCAGGCAGTGGTGACACACCTTTAATCCCAGTAGCCACACTAACTTGCCATGGAAACCAGACAGTAGTGGTGCAGGCCTTTAATCCCAGCACTAGAGAGGAATATAAGATGGAGGAGACAGCTCTCAGCTCAGTCTCATTCTGAGATTCCTGGAGGCAGGATCACCATTTCAGACTGAGGTAGAGGTAAGAGCCAGTGGCTGGCTGTTTTCTTTTCTGACCTTCAGGTTGAACCCCAATTTCTGTCTCTGGGTTTTTAAAAACTGTGCAACAAGTGTATGTGTGCTTCTTGTGACAGAACATGTCTTCTGGTGTGTGTGTGTGTGTGTGTGTGTGTGTGTGTGTGTATGCTTCATATGGCAGAATAAGTGTCCTGCTGTGTCTTAATATGTGAGTGTGTGATTCATGTGACAGAATATGTCTTCTGGTGTGTGTGTGTGTGTGTGTGCACATGCTTCATGTGGCAGAATAAGTGTCCTGATGTGTCTGAGTGTGTGTATGCTTCATGTGACATAATATGTATCCTGGCGTGTCTTAGTGTGTATGTGTATGTGTGTGCTTCATGTGACAGAATATGCTTCCTGGTGTGTGTGTGTGTGTGTGTGTGTGTATGTATGTGTATGTGTATGTGTGTGTGTATGTGTGTGTATGTGTATGTGTATGTGTGTGTGTATGTATGTATGCTTCATGTAGCAGAATACGTCTCCTGGTGTGTCTTAGTGTGATGTGTGCTTCAGAGACAGAATATGCTTCCTGGTGTGTCTGTGTGTGTATATGCTTAACATGATAAAAACAGAAAGGACTTGCAGTGTTCCCTGCCAAAGTGAATTCTTAAAATAGATATATTCTATGGAAAATTTTCTTTAATTGAATTTAAAGCTTTATTATAGTTCTATTGTGTAATTTCGTCATTTTCTTTGTACAGCTTGTTGGTTTTTATTTCTTAATCATAGGGAATCAGAATACAGCTGACATTTTCACTTGGGAGATGGGGCAGTCATCTTTCAGATATTTCCAGTCCTTGGACTTTGCTGCTGTTAACCGGATCCGTTCCTTCACCCCAGCTTCGGGAATAGGTAAGAACTTTTCAATTACGAGTCCAGCTTAAACACGGTGTGGGAACGCAGATTGATTCCATTCTAATTGACTTTAGATAGAATGGCATGTTCTCAGAGGCTATTTTAGTAGGAATATAATACCAGATCTTTATAATAATCTATCCAGATGTCCAGAGTTTCAAAAAGACTGATACTTTCTGATTTATTAATTTTATTTTATGTTGTTTGTATGTTTTATGTTTTACCTGCTTGTGTGTGTATGTGTGCCTATGGAGGTCAGAATAGGGCATCGCATCCTGTCATTGGGTCTCTGTTGCTGTGTGAATGTATATGTGACATGTATGTGCAGGTGTGTATCCTTGTGTGTATGTGCATACATGCGTACAAACTGAATAAGGTTGTATGTTGTTCTGTTCCATTACTCCCTTTGAGAAAGAGCTTCTCACTGAACTTGAAGCTTGGTTGGCAGTCAACAAGCCCAGAGATATAACTGTCTCCACTTTCCACAGAGCTCGGCTTGTGGGAGTGCACGTGTGTGTGCAATCATGCCTGGCTTTTTTATGTGGATACCAAGATCAGAACCCAGGACCTCATTTGTGCAAGTGTTCCTAGCCCGAGTTATTTCTTTAACCCCTTGTAATGTTTATCTAAGAAAACAATTCTCACAAAAGCATTTCCGAGAAGAATGGTGTATTTATTTAATGTCTGGCTTATTAGACAATATTTAGATTTTAGTTTACTTGTTTTTTTTCTCTCTATATTTAAGTAGGAGTGAAATAGAAGCATGGTGTATACTTACTGTGTACTGTGTACCATGGGATGCTTTGAAGCATATGTGACATCATTGTTTCAGTAAGCTATATGGCCTATCATGTCACCATTTGTGTTTGTGTATATGTGGTATAGGAGTTCCTTCTGTTTGTGTGTTGCTTTCATTGGTTAATGAATAAAGAAACTGCCTTGGTCTAGTTGATAGGGCAGAACTTAGGTAGGTGGAGAAAACAACTGAATGCTGGGAGGAAGAAGGGCAGAGCCGGAGAAGCCATGGATCTTCCGCCTCAGACGGATGCCGGTTAGAATCTTGCCAGTAAGCCATGGCCATGTGGCAGTACATAAATTAATAGAAATGGGCTAAATCAAGATGTAAGAGTTAGTCAATAAGAAGTTAGAGCTAATGGCCAAGCAGTGTTTTAATTAATACAGTTTCTGTGTGGTTACTTCAGGTGTAAGCTAGCCGGGCGGCCAGGATAAACAAGCGGCCTGCTCCTCCTACAATTGGCGAAGGAGCTTTCTCCTTACAATTGGTTACAACATATATGTGATGAAAACTCAAGATTTATTCTTCTAGCATTTTCTGAGTTTTCAAGTCATTATTAGTGTTGCCGTTACCACCCTATACAGTGAGCTCTCCAGAAATTATCGACAGCTGAAGACCTCCTTCCATTGTCTGCAATGGAAGACCCTTGCGACTACCATTGTAATTATATTTTTATTTCAAGATTTATATTTTTATTTAAAGATGTATTTATTTATTTACTAGTGTATGTGCACACATGCATGTTCACTGGTTGTGAGTCCGTGACACAGTTGCATGTACAGATGTAAGGATAGTTTTATTTCTGCAGAAACAAGCCACCCCACTGCTTTTCTACACGGGATCTGGGGATTGAACTCAGGCTGGCAGGCTTATGATGCAAATGCTGTGATTTTACCTGCTGGTCCATCCCTTTATCTCCATTGTAAGCTCTTTTTCGAAGAGTTCAACCTTTAAAGACTCTCATGCAGGTTGAGTGCCCTTATTATGAGCGTCTGAAATCTGAAATGATGTGACAAGGGAAAATTATGCACACAATTTGTTTTAGGCATAACATTAATACCTTGTTTTAGGCATAACATTAATAAAAATATTGTGTAGGATCACCCTCACCAATATTAAAAGATGGAATGTGAATTTTATAGTTTTTGGGTTTTTTTTTAAATTTTTTTTATTGAGACAGGGTCTCTCTATGTAACTCTGCCTGTCTCAGAGCTCACTTCGGAGACCAGGCTGGCCTTGAACTCATAGAGTTCTGCCTTTGCCTCCAAAGTGCTGGGATTAAAGGTGTGTGCCACAATGCTTGTATATTTTATGTGTATATTTGGGATTAATTTTCGGTATGTTTTGACCATGTAGTTCTTGAAATTTGAAATATTCTTGTCCTTCATATTTCATACAAAGGGTCCTAGCCTATAGGAGGGGAATTGAATGTAATCTGTCTTTCTGCGTTTGGATTCCCATGTCTGTATCTGCATCCATTCTCTCATAGGACAGCCAGCCACATAGACTCAGGAAACAGGAGCGAAGGAAAGCAGTCAAACAGCCGCTCTGGTCTCCTGTAGAACCGGTTTGGACCTCACAGGCTATCTAAGTGTCTTGGAACTCTTAGCAATTTCGGCTCATACTCTGAGCATGGATGAGGCAGAGAAGTCTTCAAAGGGGTTTCAGAGGCACACGCTGATCAAAGCCCTTCTCTGACGGTGTCATGTAGCTTTTGTGTGAGAATTATGAATGAAATGTGTTACAGCTCCCTAGTCCAACTGAAAGAAGGTCCTGAGCTGGGAGGGACCGTAGATGCATGACAGTTTTGTGGACAAGAGATCTAACAATGAGCATTCATGAGGACTTCTGACTGCTCAAATGTGGGCAGCAAAACTCCCACACTTTGGCCATTATGAGGCTATTAGTATTGAAATTAAGAAACACTGTAGGAAGAATTCATTTATTGGAAGCAAGCACTGGCGGATTTTAGGTGGCTGTGGTTTAAGGCAATGGTAACACATCGAGGTGATTAGAGGTGTGGAGGGGAATCGAGGCATCAGCCATCTAGATTTCAGAGACTCTTTCAGAGACAGGTGAAACTGTGCAGTTAAGACATCCAGAGGAAACGATAGGAGGCTGGGAGGGTTAGCACAAGCTTCAGGAGTCTGCTTCTGCTTCTTTTCCTAATGGACGTCTAGCTCTTTCTTTCTCTGTGGGGCTCTGTATCTCTAGGCAGGGTCACAGTGAACTCCCCTGCCATTAAGCTTGGATGAGAGGGTTTCCCCTAGTTTTGTTTGTTTGCTTAGTCTTTTTTAGCTAAATAAGAGAGAAAAAATGTAATTTCCTTTGTTCCCATGTTTCTTCCTCCTGGACTCTGCATTCATGATATACCCTCTGAGTTTCACTTAGTCTACTGTATGCCTATGTAAGTGTAAGCCCCCACACTTGTCTCACTGTACCCTCAGACCTCACACAGATGTGGACATGCATTGTCATGCTATCCAGTGGTGTACAATAACACTAGCTTTCTTATTCACTCACCAGTTGATTTACTGAACAGAATATGTATCTTTCCTTATGTTTGTTCCATTTTTTTCTTCCTGTCCTTTAATTTGATCCCTTGAATGTCTGCTTTTCTTGTACCTCAGGTTTTCAAATGGATGGACTGTCTACTTAAGTCACTAATTGGTATTCACAATGGTTGCCTAGTGAATGTTTTTAAGGAAGAAGTGTACTACATGGCTGGGCTGTTAATTGAAGTTATATAATTCCTTTTAAAGATTTTTCTTAAAGAAATATAATAGGCACACTTTCCAAAAGAATTCAGGGAAAATTCTGTCAGAGGTTTTATGAAGAGCCCATTGTGAGGTCTCTGTTTCTTTTGTTTCTGTGACTTGAAGTGGTAGGCGCATGAAAAGCCTGTAGGAAATTACTTAGAATAGGTATTATAAATCCCTGAAAGCTGCAAGTATGTATTAAAGAATGTTCAAAGGATTTCTTATTTTGTATATGTCAAATGTTTTATTAAAAATGTTAAATTGGAGCCAGGGGCATAGGTTCACATATTTGCTCTGTGGTTAGTTCAATGACTGATTTCTGAAAATGGAAGAGGGAAAATGAATAGGACAAATATTTCAAGAGTATAAGCTTGCTGCTTCCTTCCTTTTTGGGGGGAGGCTTCTTCATTAGTTAATAGATATTTAAAGGTGGCAATCACAGTGGCAGAGCCTGTGGGAACAAGGCCAGCTCAAATCACGTCTTACAAAACATAGTGTGTAGTAGATAAAGAGATGTGTGTATGTGTGCATGCCTGTGTGACAAATAGGATTGTAACTAGAACAGATAATTTCCAGGAAATAATTTAATAAAACATTGGTGAAGACTTGAACTGGTTTATGACATATCTACAAAGAGCTCTCCAATAATCACGGGGTTAGGAATTATCAGTTAAATAGGAGTCAAAAGGTTGACCTGAAGATGAACTCTAGGCCAAGCATTCAGACCCTACACAGAGGCCAGTAGTGCAGTGAGCATGTGCTTCTGGAAAAAACCGGAAAGAGCCCGATGTAATCCAAACACGAGCAGTTTGAAGGATTGCGATCTTTACCCTAAAACTTAAGAGTACCTTTTGTAGGAAGAGATGGAGGGAGGGGGAGAAGAAAAAAAGGGAGTCAGAGAAACAGACAGACATAGATACAGAGATAACTCAATTCTCTTTGTTGACTACTTTAAGAGGGAAGGTTTTTAAATGTCATGGTAGAGTTTGTTGGTTTGGCAACATCAATAATTTTACAAAACATTGTGCAAAGCATTTGCCGTTTAAAGAGTCTAATAAATTGACATTTTCCCCGAAATTTGCCTTTATGCAACTCTTAGTAACATGCAACAGTACCTAAATTAGTTCATCTAATTAATGATTTAACAGTAGCAAAATAGTAATGACCAGGAGTTTTGATGTGTAAGAGCCAGGCTGTGAGGCTTCCCACTGTAACCGATGGCTAACATATGAGAAGGTTGTCAGCCTTTCCGAATTCATGTTATTTTGATGCTGACTCAGTCTTGTTTCCCAGCCTTCTGCTCTGGGATGCTTCAGTCAGCACCAGAATTTGCATGTTTCTATATGGTTGCGCACCCCATCTATGTCTGAAGAGTGGTTATTATTATATGTAGCCTTTGAAGCCACTTCTTTCCTAGCCCGTGTAGCTGTACATGCGCCATTGCTGTGAATTAACAAAAGCATGAGCACTGGCTGCCTAAGAAGTGCGCCAGCAGAGTGTGTTCCCAGTGTCAGGAGTCTGTTCGTATTCTTTGGATTGATCTTAAGTAATTTGCCAAGTGGAAAATATGTATTTTGCTTCTACTTAATATTTAAAACTTCAAATGTTAAACAACAAGAAAAACTCAATCTACAGGAATTATTAAATATAGTTAAGAACAGTTATACAGATTAGAACTGTTTATTCTAAATCTTATATTGGAATTAGAATCTTGTGCTGGTGAGATGCTTAGCGAGTAACGCTGTTGCCACCAGACCACCAGTTTGAGTTTCATCCTAGGACCCATGTGGTGGGAAGGAGCAGCTCCTGAGAGCTGTGCTCTGAGCTCCGCGTGCCCCTGGCATGCACACGCCACTCACTGTTGTGTAGACAAAGGAAATAGAGGAAAATGTAAACAACTGTGAACGCGAATACTGTGTGAGCGCTCACTGACCTGTGCCGTGTGCCGTGCTTCAGTTATGGAACAGGACGAGCTAGGGCTCATGTTTGTATCTGCTACAACTGTCGTCATAAATGTGTGCGGTGGCGACTAGAGGAGAAAAGGGGAAAGTGAAATATTTGCGGGTAGCATAAGGAGGGTTTTGTGCTTTGAAAAGTCACTTTTATATAAGTTTAGCTATGGCTACAAATGAATCCAGATCCATTTTCATTTTATCAGTCAATAACTTGTTTTTTCTTGAGCAGATATGTGCACTTTGTCACGCTGAATTGGTCAATGCTCAACACTCAGCACTTTCTTATATCTTGTTGTTTCAAAAATGGAAACATATTTGCTTTAGTCTAGAAATCAGTGTGGATTCAAGGGTTGGAAAGGTTTAGCGTTGGAGCCATGGAGAGAGCCTTGTGGGCAGAGGTCGCTTCAGTCCTGTTCCTTTCTCTCCTTCTTCCAGTCCACATACTTCTAACTGGCCAAAACCACTCTGTTCTCTACTGCTGGAATTCGGAGCGGAATGCCTTCTCCTTTGTTCTGGAAGTGCCTGCTGCCCATGATGCAGCTTTTGTTACAGTAAAGTCGCTTAATTCAAGCAAAGCTTTAATCGCCTTAGCAGGAGCTGCTCACTCACACTTCTACGAGCTGGCCTACATCTCCAGCCAGTCTGACTTTATTCCTAGGTAGGTTCAATGCTTTTAATCTAACTACAGCTATGTATGGCACCAAATTTCTCCATCTCATTGATTGAGTTACTGCTTTAAATAAAATTTAAGAGCTATTAATAAGCTGGAAATCTACTCATTATCCATACTTTTAGTATCTAGTCAACCAAGTTAATCAGTATTATAGAAATATTTCGTATGAAAATTTTGCTTCTGAAATATTTTGATCCTTGTAAGACAGCATTACTCAGTGTGATAACTGGGACTAACACACCATGTATATCATTCGTTGGTCATGATTGACTTCTTTTTATATGACCTTCTTATGCTAGTTTAGGTGAACTGATATTTGAACCTGGCGACAAAGAAGCAATAATAGCAGTAAACATCCTGGACGACACAGTTCCGGAAAAAGAAGAATCCTTCAGAGTCCAACTGAAGAATCCAAAAGGAGGAGCAGAGATTGGCATCAATGGTTACGTGAGGGTCACTGTTCTCGCGAACGATGATGCCTACGGGGTTGTAGCATTCGCCCAGGTAAAGTAACTGAAGACTGCACTTGAAAGTCAAAGTTGTCAGACGGACGAATTGGTTTCCATCAGCTGTCAGGGCATGAGGGACACTTGACCTGTTTTCAGTCTTTCCCTCCCTTGCCTCAGTCTCACTCCTTATCCTGTCTTCTAAGGTGAATTCTGATGTTGCAGTTTCTAGACTTAGATGCTGGTTTCTGGAATACCACGCCCCCGCTGTTTTTGCTTATTTAGTTGTCTTGAGTATAATACATTCCTATTTGGTCTTTTCTCAGTATTTTGCTTCAGGTATTATTGTACAGAAAAAAAAAACAACTTTTGAATCAGAGGGTAATGATGAAACAGATCTAGATATACTCCATCGTGTGTATATCATGCATATTACATATGAATGTGACATCAGATGTGGTTAGTGTGGGAGGGTTATAACTGTATAGACATTGTGCACATGTAGATGCCTTGAAGGAACTTTAAAAACCTTGTTCTCCATTTACGTGGGCTTCATATTTTTTTACCAATGAGAAGAAAGACATTCATATTGTGTTACTTATTACTGTCTTCAACATACATTCAGATGTATTAAGTTGTCATATTAGCAGAGCTACCGTATTTTCTCCAAAATCTCCCATGTAAGAGGAAGGTCTAATTCAGATGGCTTTAACCACTAGGAACACAGCAACAACAAAGGCGGACTTGGAGCTGATGGGTTGGTTGCCTGTTACTCTGTGTCACCAGGGCTCAGACTGGGCCAGTGCACCTCTCCATGTGTCATTGGAAAGCTGAGTCCTCATTCTGCTTGCTTGAAAACTCTTGTGATTGTTCCAGTGCTGTTTCCTATTCAAGTCCAGTCCGTGACAGAGAGACACTGTAACATGAAAAGGCCGGGCCTGCTTGTTTGTGTTTCTGTCCTGCCCGGCCCCCCAGCTATTTAGTCCCAGAGAAAATCACACACAGGACTCCGTAAGTTATAATGCTGATTGGCCCACTAGGTCAGGCTACTTATTAGTTAACGCTGATATCTTGATTAACCCTTTTTTCTGATCTATGTTAGCCATGTGGCTCAGTACCTTTTTTCAGCTGGGCAGATCACCTGCTGCTTTGGTGATCTGGGCAGGAGTCGGGGGAATCAACTTCCTCCTCCCCAGAATTCTCCTGCTCTCCTTGCATCATTTCCACTTCCTGTCTGGTTTCCCCGCCTACACCTCCTGCCTAGCCAATCAGTGTTTATTTAAAACAGAATATGTATGATTGACAGGATACGGACAATTCTCCCGCACTACGATGCTTTCAAGGCCCTATGACCATCTATAGCTTTAGTGACTCCTAGCTAGGGATGTCCACAGTACTGGGTGTCCAGTCTTGTGACTCTGTGTGCACACACTCATATACACACATATTATGTATATGTGTAATATGTATTATATAGTATATACATATGCTATATGTAATTACATCAATTCCATCATATATTACACACATATGTAATATATTATGCATGTGCTATATGCACATATATAATATATAAACAAATATTTATGTATATACACATATGTATATACAAACACAAAAATACACACACACACACACACACACACACACACACACACACACAGGAAATACTCATGAGTAAATCCCAGAAGAAACCAGGGGTAAGATTCCAAGAGCTGTTTAGCCATGGAGTCACAAAGAATGTATCGAGCCAAATTTCCCTAGCGCTGAGTTGTATTGTTGCAACACTTACAGAATTTGGCCATTCAGAGAATCTTAGTACAAGCTCAAAGTCAGGGTTCTCATTGCAAGCTGGTCATGTGGTCATCCTCTGCTTCACACTTGCCAAAACTTCAGATTGCAGAGAGAACACAAATGCCAGCATAAACCGTAGACTGTATTATTTGTATAAACCATTTATCAGGTCAGGGAATGGAAGGGACCTCTTGGAAACCAAATTATTTGACACCAGCTGATGGTCAGCCTTGTGAGCTTTGCTCTTACAGGCTAGCCTCCAGACCTGCTGTGTTAGCGCTAGCCTCTCAGTGACAGTGAATTTAGCCTTTGGGGGATGGAGCACGGGGAGGTGTTGAGACAGTGACATGACAGTCCAGTCCGTGACATGTGTTTGGAAAGGATCACGCTAACTATGGTATTGCGAACATACTCTAAGTGGAAACTGACATTGTCTGAAGCCACTGTGACAAGTAAGTAGTTATCATGTGATGGATCTGTGGAAAGCATGAGTTCACCCTTCACTTCCTTAGGGACAACTGCAGGAAAAGCTGGTTTGGGGATGAAGGTTGTGCATGAATTGTCCGCATCTGCCTGTAGGGGGGCAGATCACACTGTTGCCCAATCTAGCCCTTGGCACAAAGGAAAAAGCAGACAAAGGCTGAAGAGAATGTGCCACAAGTATAGGAAAAGTTTTAGTTTTGTTTTCTAGTAAACACATTTATTAAGAGAGAGGAAAAAAAAACCAAGGAAAGCCAGTTTAAGTAGTATGCCTTATATAACCCAGTAGATCCAGAATGCTGTGGTGATTTCAACATATATAAAAGACCATTGCTGAAATACCTAACATTTTCTGAGCTGCTCTGTGTTTAAACTGCAGTATACATTTTACATTTAGAGACCAGCTAATCTCAAGCATTCTGTGGTCGCATGTGGACAGGGGGTCCCACGTAGTACAGGGCAACTTTTAAGATTTGAACCGTGTGTTTGAGGAGACCCAGGAATAGAACCCCTCTGTCCAAGATGCTCACATTTCTACAACTTCTTCATGGCCCTCCCCAGATAACACCTTAGCAGAAAGGGCTTGTGTGGCTGAAAACTGGTGCCCACCGTCTGAACCTTCATGTCCTGCCTTTTTTTCATAAGAACACTTAGAGTTGGATCATTTATCTGTTTCTTTCATTAAAGTTGAAAAGTCCATGAGCCGGCGTCTGCTCTTTCTACAGCCGGACAAGGAGGTGGAGCCTGCCAGTGTGCAGGAGTGAGGAAGGCACGCACAGGACTTCTGGTGCTTCTGAAATAAGTGAATGTCAGGGCTGGGGATAATGAGCTGCGAACCTGAGAGGGGACAGACTCCATAGGCTCCTCCCACCCTCCCACACAGCCTCTCCTCAGGAAGCTGGTCTAGATACAGGAAACCCCTGTGGTTTCATCCTTGCCTGTGGGCAAGATTGGGAGTTCCCAGGAGCCCTTCAGTAGAGTTTCTCAGCAGAGCCACTCAGTGCAGGTCGCCTGCGTCAGCCGCCTTTTGGATGTGGCCGAGTAGTATTTCTGGCACATCCTCTGGCTGTATGGAGGCTTCCTCTCACTAACCATCAGTAACGAAGAGCAGGAAGCCAGGGAAAGGCTTTTCTTTTCTGAACAAATCATGTGCCTATTTTAAAATCTGATGTTTTGTGAATTATTTTTATCACTTCGAACACAATTTTGTTATTTTGAAACGTGTAACATAACACTGAACAGCTGTGTGAAATTTCCTTGGGTTGGCTCTTTTCAAATTAACATTTCTATAAGCATTTTGGAGGGGTCTCTTCAGATGGCCATTGTTAAAAATACGTGGGAACTTCTACAGGAAAGATTTTTAAAAAGCATCTTTATTCTCAATATGATTGCCTTATTGAGAAATCAAGGATGCTTTGGGGAGGGATTTGTGTCCAACTGCATGTCACTAGCTATGGCTGCATGTCGCTAGCTTTGAACGTGGCTGAATGCAAAACCATAACTTACTTAAAACATTTTTAGCCAACACAATTGTATGATTCTTAAGCATGGACTGTGTAGATGATAAGTTCGTGTCATGGTGGCAAAGAGTTGGACATGCGTGCAAGTATTCTTTCTGTGGAAAAGTTCTGTAAAAAGCTAGCATGAGGTGCTGCAGGGGTTTGGCGGAGTGATACAGTCACCAAGTGATAGACGTTAGGATCGAAGCAGAGAACCAAGGCTAGGAAGGACAGGTGGAAAGAAAGGAATCATGACAGTACACAGAGGGCTTTTTTTTTTTTCTGGCAGGAAAAACAGTCGCATAGACCACTAGCTAAGGAATGGAACATCACCAAAAGAAACAGGTCAGCTAACTGAATAATGCACAGGATGTGATTTAAGTGTGAGACACATTAACAAGTGATCAGAGAAGAGTGTCTCAGTTCTCTGAATGCTGTTGACCTTGGGTGGGGTACTGGAGACTTTAGGCCTAACTCTTAATATGCTAGTCAGAGAGGGAGACCCAGAGAGCCTTTCCCCAGAGGCAGAAGGTTTTCCTGCCATTCCGGTTTTCTTTTTTTTGTCTTTTTTTTTTTTTAACAAACCTTTCAGTGTTGTGTGTATTGCTTTAAAAAGAGAAGTATGCTGGGTAGAAGAGTAATATCTGCCCATTGAGCAAAATATGTCAGGAAGACAAACATAAAAACAGTGTAGTAAGGTGACTGGTGTCTTGTGACTTCAGGTTATTTATGTACTTACTTGTGGAGACAGTTGCACTATAGTTTGGGTCTTCCTGCCTCATGGGCATTACAGGCCTGCGCAGGACACCTTACCCCAGAACACTGTTCACAACTGTTGTTCACCTATGTTTCGTGTTGAACTTGGCAAATATGTAGCAATGCAAAACAAGGAAGAGATTGCTTCATTGTTTCAGAGAACCCTTGTGCTTTTATGTGTGTCTTTCAGAACTCATTGCATAAGCAAGTGGAGGAAATGGAGCAAGACAGCCTGGTTACCTTGAATGTTGAACGTTTAAAAGGAACACATGGTCGCATAACTGTAGCATGGGAAGCAGTTGGAAGCATCAGTGATGTATTTCCTACCTCAGGAGTGGTATGTAATTTATAGAACTGTAGAAGACACTTATAAATCATGATTATCATTCATTGATGCCTGCCACCCTTTCCTGCCTGTTGGAAGAAACATTAGAGTTTGACCATATAAACACTGGATTCTCGCTAATCACCATAGACTGGGATACAATTTAAGGCTTAGTTTTTTTTTCTATAAAAGAAAAGCTCTCTGTGCATAAAATGAACCCTTTTGAGGTTCAGTACATGAGTTAAACAAATTACAATTCAGTAATCTGAAAGATAAGTGAGCCAAACTAAGAAGGAAATGTGTGAAGTCATAGGAAAAGGCAGAGACGGTACTTAGCGGGCAAGTCTGTGGGAAGTAGGCAGAAGAAATGGCCCATGAAAGCTGTGGGCACAAGCAGTTTCTGTTTGCTGTGAGCAGACCCTGAGGTGAGAGCCCTGGGCAGGAGGCTTACGTGAATTAGTCATCTGCAGGAGAGGAAGGCAGGCTCACGTGGTGGGAAGTATTGGTCCATGAGGGGTCCCTTCTGGTGACATACAGGGAAGCAAAGCATGAGAGGAGATAAGAAGGAAAACCCGGTACAGATCATCAGCCTGGATCAGACTTCTGGGTGTCTAATAACAGGTAGTTTATTCCCAATATGTTTAAGCCCAGCATAATTTGGAAAAAACTGTTTCCTGATGTGATACAATCCCCGTTGCACACGGAAGCATAATTACATTGAAACTGAACTAGGTGTCATTTCCTCTAAGAAGATGGGTTCTAGGGATGCGCTAGCTGTACTAACTTAGAGGCCTGCGGGTCTGGCCCGGTTTCAGCCATACAGATAGCATAAAGAGCATTTGGACTATTAGCCTCCTCTGGTCCTGGTTGGGGAATTTGTAGAGTATCTGGCTATCACGGCCATTCAGATTCCTAGCCACCAGCTTGATGACCCAGCAGATAACACACATCACCAGGCAGTTCATCTTTTCCCATTCTCACATTTCTGGGAGGAAGAACAGGTTTTTCTTCTTTTCTATTGGAAAAACAATCTTGTGTGCTTAGCATTCTTGGTTTCTCTGGAGGTGCTCAAACACCTTAGTGTTCAGTGCGCAACAGATCCAAAGGTGATTGCAGTTCCAGTGGATTCTGGGGGAGAGGTCATTGTCTAAGCTGGCCCTTGGCTGCCATTCTAATTTCAGGCCTGATCCATTGGCATCCTGTTTTCTGTAGTTACTGGTCCTAGGGTGCTTCTAGGTGGGGGTTGACCTTGACTGACACCATTTGCTGAAGCTAAGGACTGTCTCCAAATGTAAACACAGAATTTGCTGCTCCCACTAGTTGAAGGATGGGCTCATCCAGGTGTCTGGGCTGAGAATCATGTTATCCATCTCGTTGATTAGTGTAAAATTGATACTCTGCTTCAAATATGTACCAGAATGACCAACAGGACAGTTGACCTTACGAAGAGCCTTTTGTTAACTATTTGTGGGAAGGGCGACTTAATGTGTTTCTGGGGTTTTATAGGTCAGTATTTTATCCAAATATTTCTTTGAAAAATTATTTAAAGGAGCTTTTTATGAAATTATCTCCTGGAAAAAAAAGTGTGTAACAGTTACAGTTCTTACCATTTCAAATGTGACGGGCACTTCAGTGTGCTAAGGATGTGTTAGCAGTCTTTCGTATTTAACACTCAATTCTATGCAAATTACAAAAACTACTAGTTGTATCTCTGTTTCTGTGTGCATTGAATTATGTCTTTCTCTAGCTTATTATGTGAATATGATTAAGATTTGAAATTTATAATTGCCTGCTTCCTTGACATTCTTTTTGAAAGAGTTATTTTTATGTAGTGTAGGAGTCAGTAGATTGTTTTTGTAAAGGGTCACATAGTAAATGCTTCAGATTTTATGTTTCTTCTCCTTCTCCTCCTTCTCCTACTTCTTCCTCTTCCTCTTCCTCCTCCTCCTCTTCTTCTTTTTCTTTTTAAATAGCGACTTTGCTTTTGTGGCACAATTGTACCAGGTTATATAGAGAAGTCATTACAGGTAGTAATAATCCTTGAATTAAGTTTGTTTGACTGCATCCCAATAACACTTCATTTATATAAAACGAACTTGGCTCATAGGAAAGCTGGAGGCCTCAGCCTGCAAGGACAGTTTGAGTAATTGATTTGGAAATGAATATTAGGATGAATGATGTAGGACTAGCATTGAGAAGTGGACACTTCCTCATCAGCAAGGACATCAGATGCTTTCAGTACATTTGAATCTGACACCAGACAATGGGAGCAGAGAAAGGAGGAGGTTGTAACTTCCATCTCTGCTGTCCTCCTCTTCTCCCTTGAATCAGCAGTCATTGCTACATGATGTATCCATCTGCAGGATCAACTATGGCAAAATCTTTGTAGATAAAATCATTTAAACTTATAAACACTTCTTTATCTTCCAGAGATTTACATGTAGTAAATCTCTATATTTACGATAGATATTCTATCTATCTATCTATCTATCTATCTATCTATCTATCTATCTATCTATCTACCTATCTATCTATCTATATTCCTTAGAGACTTTGTCCTTTATATTATAATGAAAAGTAGGTACCAAGATATGACAATTTGGCTACAAGTATTAACTCGAGTTTTTGAGATGTTTTACTTTTTTAAAATAATTCTCTAATTTTAATATAAAAGACATTCAATTTGTTTATAAAATCATATTATGATACAGAATCATCTTTGTTTTATAAATTGTGGTCATATTAAAAGAATATTAAAAGAAAATAAGACATTTTTGTGACGTGATGTTAATCCCAATATGAGCAAAACTATTTTTTTTTCTTTTCTTTTTAGATTTCATTCACAGAGGACCAGGCACGGTCTACAATTACTCTGACTGTTCTTGCGGATGATCTGCCGGAGCTATCTGAGGTTGTGATTGTGGCGCTCACTCGGATTGTCACGGAGGGTGTTGAAGATCCGTCAGAAGGTGCTACTGTGGATGAGAACAGAAGCAAGTCCGTGCTAACCATCCTGCCCAGTGACTCGCCCTATGGCGTGGTTGGCTGGCATACTGATTCCCTCTTCACTAGGGTGCCAGAGCCCAAAGGTAAGTCCTGGTAAAGGTTTCTTAAGTTCTAATAAAAAGTTTCTTTGGATATTTTGATTATAATATTTGAAAGGAATATAAATTTCTTTTTTCATATATCTTTTTTAGTTTGATAGGCCATATTTCTTTTAATATGTTTTAAATTGTATAGTTACGGAGTCACTTTGCAGTTGTGGTTGCTCACACACTTCTAATTTCCAGGAGCATGCATGACGTCACTCTTACGCTGCCTTCGCAGCAGGCATTGGCGTTTACCTTCCTTTTCACTGTTTCTTTACTTCTTCCCTTTCCACACCCAGATTTCCTCTGTGTTTTTGGTAGGTGTAGGGAACAGTCAGCTACAATGTGGATGGACTTGGTGCTATAGTTTTAATTATGCTCCCTCGAACAGTAACTGCAGTGATTTCACCCTGTGATGTGTGCCGTGGCCAGGCCTTACCTCCTTAGAGAGCTGAAATGTTCACCTATCAGAATAAAACGTTATGTATAAGGTATATTTAAGATGAATTTACAGAATGACTTGAAATTTTGCAGATAAAAATATGCAGATTTCAGACTCCTTTTCATCACAGAGCTGATTGGAAATGTGATATGTGGTTATATTTCTGGGCCCTTGTCTATCTGAATGGGCAATACCCAAAACAATAAACTTTAATAAAATAATGTGTTCAGTTTCAGTCAATAAACATAGTAATTTGTAGGAATTTCATTATCGTTTTGATAATAGACACAATCATTAGAAGCTTAAACTGGAGAGAATACTAATAAATATTTTTAATGTTTTATATAAAAAATTATTTTAAACTATGAAATGAAAAGTAATAGGTTCTGGGAGACACTTTGAACCTTGTGACTGACACCTCACTACAGAAATTAAAAATCACTCTTCCAATGATTAATTAATTATGTGTATTTAGGTACTCGTTTTCAAGAGATTTCTGAGGATTGTGCAGTTATCCCCTATGTTGTACCTCCGCAGTTCACTTCTGTAAGGCTCCCGTGGGTTCTCTTCCAGTGTGACCTATGAAACACCAGAGGCTGCTGTGGGGACAGAAGGGCTGAAGCAGATTAAGGCGGGAGTGGATGGCGATTTTGAACACAGCTTTTGGGGCAACAGAGACAAAACAGAACACTCCATAGGATGGTGTCCTTGTGTTATGTCTGCTTCCTTAGGTGTCCAGATACCGTGTGTTCAACTGAGATGCTGGGAACAACTTTAGCAGAGCGCAGAGCAGCTCACTAACTTGAGGCACATTTGTCTCCTAGAGAACACCACTGTTCTCCAGCTCCGTATCATTCGAGACAAAGGATTGTTTGGGGACATCTCCATTCACTTGATAGCAAAACCCAACTTCTTACTGCCCACCAATAATCAAGCTACTGAGAATGAAGATTATGCATTGCAAGACTCAGTGATAATAATGAAAGAAAACATAAAAGAAACTCATGCTGAAGTGGCCATTTTGCCAGTAAGTATAGATTATAATAAATATATGAGTTAGCTAGCATGTTTAAAACCATAAAACTTTAATTCTCTAATACTTAAAAATTCTCACTAAACATTTTATTATCAGATGAAAATATGACAGTGTATTTATTGTGTTTATTTTAGAGTAAGAATGATTCGAATGCATTTGAAATACTGAATTTGGATTGCTTATGTGCCTGATTGGTTGGGCACACTACAAAGATAATTGGCTAACAGCTTTAATATTGTTTGCTTGGCAGGAGAGAACTTTAATTTCATGATGCCATGACTTCAATAAGAAGAACATTTAGATGGTTTAGGTCTAACTTTTGCTGGCTACATCTCATTCCCTTTCCCATTCTCTGTGTAAGGAGGAGAGGGAGCTAGAGATGCAGAAACACAGAGGGACCAAACAGGGAGACACACATGAAAAAGGAGGCAAAAATCGGAGGTGCTAGTACCTCTCTTGGTGCCATAGTAACCTGGGGTATCAGGACCGGGGTGCAGTTCAGAGCTAAATTGCTTGCCTAGCATATTAAGACCCTGGGTTTGATATGCAGTGCCATAAAATGTTTAAGTATGTTTGTAAATAACAACATGTGCGGTTAAGGACAGTATCTATCAGACACTGTAAACATGTCATGTGTTGTTAAGTAGATGTAGTAGTATTTGGATACTGTCCGAAGTTTTGGTGGTTATCAGTTACCTCTCCTGTCGAGAGGACAAGAGGAAAAGCCCATATTGGGGGAGAGGGTAGGGATCAGCTGTCCTTTTATTTTCTGTTTGTCACTTCTACATCTTGATAGTTTCTATTACTTTCACACAAATAAAGTATTTTTTAAAGCTAACTGATATTTGCTTACACCTAGATTTATATCTAGAACTTTCACTTTTAAAATACTTGTAAATTTATCAAATTTTCCTAAATGTCTTTCAGAATGTTGTATATGTGTGATGTCTTCAATAGAGTAAGGTCAAAATTGTGGGACAGGACAGTAAACACTTGCTAAGGCAGCGGTGGTACCCTTGAGAGGTTATCATTAGTCTTGAAGATATCCAAGATGCTGAGGGCACCCTGAGAATGTACTAGATGTATTAAAATATGGCAAGAAATCATGTCTATGTGACAGAGACACCAGTCCTGTATAGCAAGTTAGTTGCTTGCTGAAAAGTATAAGGTTTACAATGCAGATGGAATATTGTTTAAAAATGTCAGTTGGAGCTGGAGGAAGATATCTGCAGCTCCAGCTGCTACAGAGACGGTGGCAGGGTCAGCCAGGCCCGCAGACTTGACACCAGCCTAGCTGGGCATCATCTCCTCTCCCCACTTCCCAGGACGAGGCTGCTGAACTGGAGGAAGGGCTTGTCGTTACCATCACCGCAGTGAACTTGGTGAACCCCGACTTCCCTGCGGAGCAGCCCCGTGTGCGGAGGCCGAGGATGGAAATAGTAGAGATCATGATTGAAGAAAATGATGATCCCAGAGGGGTCTTCACGTTCCACATGGCAAGAGTGAGATGCCACTTCTCGTATTTATAGTACTATAAGTAAGGCTGATCCTTGCTGGTTTGGTCAGTGCCTTTACAAGTATTTTTTGCAAAGTAATTGGATTTGTTTGCAGACATGTATACGAAGATAGGTATTCAATTTGTATTATGAATGATTTTTAGTTCTCTGAGCAGACCACAGAATTAAACAAACTTTTCATTACATTTTGCTGTAAGGTCTAAGCACTTCTTACCACGTGGGAATAATAAATTGAACAAGTTATTGCCTAGGAGAGTTTTGAGCTTGGCCTGCCTGTCAATGTCTGCTCTTTTTGAAGGGTGTTGGTGGAGAAGTTACTGCCCATGAACTGCCTCCACCCTTGAATGTCCTTCACGTCCCTGTCACCCGGCTGGCCGGAAGCTTTGAGACCGTGAACGTTCACTGGAAAGCAGTACCAGGCAGTGCTAGCCCAGAAGACTTTCAGCCCTCTCATGGGGTTCTCCAGTTTGCGGATGGACAAGTATGTTCATTATGAACAGATTTATTGATGGTCTTGGCTTTGCTTCAAGCATTTGTGAGCATCCACCAAGTGAACATGCATTAGTGACTGATAAATGCGTTCTAGCCTGTTTGTTTATCAAGTGAAGCTTAATCTTATTAATTACTATATAGTCTATTTATAATAATCACAGGAAGAGAATTCTTTTTATAGTTTTTAATGAAAAAAATGCATGCAATATATTTTAATCCCACTTTCCCCTTCTTCAGTGCCTCCCAGGTCCTCCCTACCTCACTTAATTCCACATGCTTTCCTCTCTTTAAAAAACAAACAAAAACAGAAATCCAGAAATACATACAAAAGCACAAAAATGGAAACCAAAGTATACAAGCAAAAGATTAACATGAGGAAAAAGGCCCAAAGCATAATGAGACAGATCACACTGAGTTTGTTTTGTGTTGGCCAACGTGTCATCTGCAGGGGTCCTAACCTGAATCATGGGAAATCCACCCTGTAAGATTCCACTGGAGGAAACTAACTTTTCCTTTATCCGCAGGTATCAGTTGTAGATAGCTTCCTGGATAGGGGTAGGGGCCTGTGTCCACTTCTCCCTTTCAGCTCTGGGACTCTCTCTGGCTTAAGCCTATGTAGGTCTTGTGCATTCTGTCACTATCTCTGTGAGTTCAAACGTGCACCAGTCCTGCTGCGCCTGGAAGTCACTGTTTCCTTGAAGTCAGCGTCATCTCTAACTCTTACACTCTTTCTGCCTCCTACAGAGAGAGAATTCTAAAAGACAAAAATCCTACCTCCTTTTGAAATTCTCTTCCATTTGAAATAGACGTTAGGTAGTAAGATAATAATAGAAGTCAATTATTATTGACTACAGGTTCTTAACCAATTTTTTTAAATGCGTGATACACTAGTCTCTTCCCAGATTCCTCTACTTATTTTATTTTTTAGTATTTATAAATTGATATTGTTTTTATATTTGCTTATTTTTAATTTATAATTCGAGCAGTTGCAAATTTAGATAGTGAATTAGTTACATAATTAAATAATACTCATTACTCTCTCAATCTCCCTGCTTTGAAACTTTTTCTCCTTCCTAAGTCCTGCTGTTACTTTGTATCTTGCCCTGTGTGTGACACACCCAATTTGCTCAGGTTGCTGGCATGGGTGTTGGTGGGAGGTTATTTCCTAGAGCATGGGTTACTTTTCATTGGCAACACCACTGAAGAAACTGACAGCCTTTCCCCCTGGAGCCATTAATTACCTATAGTGCCTCAGGGAGGGCTGGGACTTCGGTTCCTCTCCCACCTGTGATGAAGTGCTCATGGCCTAATCTCACACAGGTCTTGTGTGGGTGATCCCATTTTAGCGTGTTTGTGAGCAAAATAGCCATGCTATGCCCAGCATCATTCCGTGGCATGCCTCCTGCTCCTCTGGCTCTTAAGATCATTCTTCCTGCTCATTCATGATGCTCCCTGAGCGTGGAGGGGGAGATAAATATATACAGAGGGCTGCACCTTATATTAGCATCTGTTTTTGTTGTTCTGACCAGTTCTGAGTTTTGACTGGTTGCTGCCTGTTTTTTTTTCAACTGTCTGAAATTTATTAAATTATAAAAGTTTCCATTTCCGCCCCTCCTCCCAACACCTTCCCACTCCCCCCACGCCCCTCCTCCTCCCTCTCCCTCCCTAAGAGCAGTCAGGGTTTTCTGCCCTGTGGGAAGTTCAAGTTCCTCCCTCCTCCCTCCAGGTCCAGGAAGGTGAGCATCCAAACAAACTGGATCCCAAAAATCCAGTATATGTAGAGGAAACAAGTCCCAGTGTCATTGTCAATGGCTTTTCAGAAAGACTCCGGGCCAGCCACATTCAGAGAATCTGGTTGGATCACATTGCTCGTTCAGTCCCAGTCCAACTGGCCTTGGTGAACTCTCATTAGATCAGTCCCCTTGTATCAGTGGGTGATCGGACCCCTTGCGGTCCTGATTTCCTTTTTCATGTTCTTCCTCCTTCTGCTCCTCATTTGGACCTTGGGGGGCTCAGTCCAGTGCTCCAATGTGGGTCTCCGTCTGTATCGCCATCCATCGTCGGATGAAGGTTCCCTCTGGACTTGCCTTCTTTGCTCACATTCTCTTTCCTTCTGCTTCTCGTTTGGACCTAGGGAGTTAAGTCCAGTGTTCCAATGTGGGTCTCTGTCTCTATCTCCATCCATCGCCAGATGAAGGTTCTATGGTGATAAGCAACATATTCATCAGTATGGTTATAGGCCAAGGCCGGTTCAGGCACCCTCTCCTCTGTTCAGAGAACAATCTGGGGATCTCTCCTTGGACCTGGGATCCCATTTGTAATCAAGTCTCTTGTAAACCCTAAAATGACTCCCTTAGTTGAGATATATTCTTCCCTGATCCCATAGCCATCCTTTCTCCCTCCCCCCACCCCAGTCCCCCGAGCTTTCCCCATTCCTCCCCTACTCCCTTCTCTCTAACCCTCTCCCCTTCCAACAACCCTCCCACCCCCCCATGCACCCGAGGTTACCTGGGACTCTTGTCTATTTCCAATCTCCAGGAGGATAACTACATGATTTTCTTCAGGTTCACCTTCTTATTTAGCTTCTCTAGGATCATGAATAATAGGCTCAAAGACCTTTAATTATGGCTAGAATCCACTTATGAGTGAATACATACCATATTCCTCTTTTTGGGTCTGGCTTACCTCACTCAGTAAAGCGTTTTCTATGTCCATCCATTTGCATGCAAAATTCAAGATGTCATTGTTTTTTACCGCTGAGTAAAACTCTAATGTGTGTATGTTCCACACCTTTTTTAACCATTCTTCTATTGAGGAGCACCTAGGTTGTTTCCAGGTTCTGGCTATTACAAATAGTGCAGCTATGAACACAGTTGAACAAATACTTTTGTAGTATGATAGGGCATCTCTTGGGTATATTCCCAAGGGTGGAATTGCTGGGTCCTGAGGGAGGTTGACTCCCAGTTTCCTGAGAAACTGCCACACTGATTTCCACAGTGGCTGCACAAGTTTGCATTCCCACCAACAATGGATGAGAGTTCCCCTCACTCCACATCCTCTCCAGCATAGGCTATCATTGGTGTTTTTGAGTTTAACTATTCTGACAGGTGTAAGATAGTATCTCAAAGTGGTTTTGATTTGCATTTCCCTGATCGCTAAGAGGACAATCCAATGAATCAATGAAACAAAAAGCTGGTTCTTGGAGAAAATCAACAAGATCAATAAACCCCTATCCAAACTAATCAAACGGCAGAGAGAGAACATGCAAATTAATAGGATCAGAAATGAAAAGGGGGACATAACCACAGACACAGAGGAAATTCAGAGAATCATTAGATCTTACTACGAAAGTTTATATGCCACAAAGTTGAAAAATGTAAAAGAAATGGACATTTTTTTAGATAAGTACCATATACCAAAGTTGAACCAAGAACAGGTGAACAATCTAAATAGACCTGTTAGTCGTGAAGAATTAGAAGCTGTTATCAAAAATCTCCCTACCAAAAAAAGCCCAGGACCAGATGGTTTCAATGCAGAATTCTACCAGAACTTCCAAGAAGTGCTTATACCTATACTCCTTAATGTATTTCACAATATAGAAACAGAAGAGTCATTGCCAAGTTCTTTTTATGAAGCTACAGTTACCCTGATACCAAAACCGCATAAAGACACAACCAAGAAAGGGAATTACAGGCCAATCTCACTCATGAACATCGACGTGAAAATTCTGCCTGTTGTTTTAAGAAGCTTCTTGCTGTAGGGTGAGAACAGAACTAAGTCATGGGTGTACATGTGGCTATTTAGGAGCAGTTTAAATGTCTCTTTAGCAAATAGCAGCATGTTCTACTCACAGGCCACAGCTGCAGGCTTTTGGACAGGTCCACCACCAAGCTTGGCTTTCCCCCTGGGAATGTGCCTCAAATCTAATAAGGAGGCAGTTGGTTGTTTCTGTCCTAATCAGCCTGTGTCACCAGTCAGATCAGTTACTGTGGGTCAGTTCTGCAGTTAGCATGGTTTCCTCAGGGCAGAACTGGGGACAGCTCTTCTTCCCCAGCACTCTGCCTTGTGCTCTGGTACTGTGAAAGCTAGCCAGAGCGAAAGGAATTTCCTGCTTAGAGGAAGCTAGCTTTCTGTCTTCTATGTTTTTAGTGTGTAGCTTATTTCTGTGTTCTGTGTCTACAATGTGTGGCTGGATTTCTGTGTTCTGTGTCTACAATGTGTGGCTGGATTTCTGTGTTCTGTATGTACAATGTGTGACTGGCATCTTCAGCAATAAGTTCATACCATCAAGTCCTGGTGGACAACCAATAACAGTGACCACAAGTTGTATTATTTATTGACCTTCCTAGCCAACAATTTGAAGTAAGGTAGTCTCCACCTGGTACTGGAACTTTTAATGCCCTGCGGTGACTTCGAGGAGGCACAATGTACACCTATACTGGATATCTCAATTCCAATTCTTTTTAAAATGTTATACCATCTAATAAGCTTACAAAACGGCAGGTTTTCAGTGTTTTTCCATGTGCTCTGGCGTTGGTTACTCCTATCTCCTATGCCTTCTCTTTGCACCCCACGCCTCTCCACTCCTAAAATTTCCCCCCTCCAGTCTCTGCATCCTGACGACTTTATGTGCTCTCTTCTTGTTCCCTTCAGGTCCTCCCCACCCCCACTGTTTAGCTGTTCTCTTCTGTCTCTCGGCCTTCTGTTATAGGCACTACAGGTTAAACACACTACCCTGAGAATATGAACCAAGCCCACATGCTAGAGAGACCATACAGCTCATCTTTCTAGACCCGGACAGTTTCACCCAGTATAGTTTTAGTTCCATTCCATACAAGTTTTATAATTCCAGTTTTGTCAATGAATAAAATTCCATCACGTTTGTGATGCACATTTCCAGTATCCATCCACTGATAGCTATCTGTGCAGGTTCTTTGTCCTGGCTCTTGTGAATAGATTAACAATGATTATGAATGTATGAGTATCTCCCTAGTATAATATAGACAGAGTTTTTGAGGTGTATTCTCATTAGTATAGCTGGGTCATATGGTCGTGCTATTTCTAGCTCTTTGAAGCATCTCCATACTGATTTGTATAGTGTGTAAACCAGCTTACATACCTACAAATAGTATATATGGATTCTTCTTTTCCTGTGTCCTCACCAGTATTTATCATTATTTGATTTCCTTTAATATAGGTATTCTGATTGTACTAAGATGAAACCTCAAAATAGTTTTTATTGCCTTGTGGTTAATGATGTGAATGCCATGCATGTTTGTATGACTGTGTTACTGGTTTGTGCATGTTTGTGAGGTTCCTCAGGAAACCAGATTAGGGCATCAGATCCCTTGCAGTTATAGGTGATTATGAATCACCTGGCTTGGGTGCTGGAAGCCAACTTGGATTCTCTCAAAGAGCAATATGTTCATCACTGAGCTGTCTCTGCTACACACAGTGATTGCTTTTATGACCCCATTTCCTATCATGCAAAATTAATATTGTTCACACTGGGTTTTATGCTAGTGGGATGGTTGTGAGAAACTGCATGCCGTTTAGAAAATTTGTTCAATAATTCATTACCTTTACATCACTCATAGAACGACCTATATTTTATTAAATATGTAATTTATCTTGAAAATAATACCTCTTACATTTCTAACATTGAAGTACTACATATCCGTTATTTTAAGTGTATTATGGGTACAATATGAAGGGATCTGTTATTTTCTTTTCTACTGTATTTTGTTTCATTCAACTAAAATAATTAAAATATATTAGAGGAAACATTGTTACTATATTACATCTACCCCCTTCTCTAAGGCTTCCTCCCCTCCCCCTCTTTGTGTTTCGTAGGTCACTGCTCTGATAGAAATAACTATAATTGATGATAGTGAATTTGAGCTCACGGAGACATTCAGCATCGTCTTAATGAGTGTCACTGGCGGTGGCAGACTGGGTGATGATGTTGTGCTGACTGTGGCCATACCACCAAATGATTCTCCATTTGGAACGTTTGGATTCGAAGAGAAGACTGTAAGTTACATATAAAACATTTTCTGCCTGGAGAAAGAATCAAGCAGAAATCCTTGAGTGACTTGTAATAAGCCAGCATCTAGAGGACAGGAAATGTTTGAGAAAGGTGTTTCTATAATCTTGTACCCTGAGATCGTTATTATTTTGTGGTAATTCTAATCACATAACATTTCTAGAAATATTGGCACATATATAATATACTACTTGACATATTACAGTTCACATGACTGTGTAATTTAACTTTTAAAGCTTGAACAGGGCTAGGTGCTTAAATCTTCAACTGGTGAAAGCTTACAAAACAAGTTGGCTTGTGACATCATCGCATTTGAACTTGTACATTGAAATCTGTATTTAAGCCACCCCTCATTTTATGGAAAATTAATTGAATAAGAATAATTTCATGGTTTATTGTTCAGTTCTTCTGTTTTTAAAGATTTTTTGAGCTTGGACATTTAGTTTATCTTAGCTGCTGTTATTAACATTCTTATGCTAAACCGCACTTAAGCATGATTGGAGACTTTATCTATGAGCCTCGAGTTACTATTTGTCTTACTCCAAAAGTAAGATTAGACACACAGGTCCTATTGTATTTTTTTTGTAAAACAATTGCAAGGCACAAATGAATTGCTGTGTGTAGCGTATGCGTACATAGGATTTGCATTCAGAAGTGCAGCTGATATTTCTACTCTTGGTAGAATTAGTACCAATTGTCACTCAGTCCTTGGCCTTTGCTTTCCTCATATCCTGTCTTTCTTATCACAAAGTGTCTTACTCTGCAGCATGAATGTGAAACATATAATATCATGCACAGTGAGTGGTATTGATTGGTGACAGATTAGAAAGAAAACCGAAAACATTGAGAAAATATTATTAATATAAACCAATCAACATAAAGTGCTCACAAGGAGCATATTCAAAGCTAAGCAGAAAATATTCATGCAAGTTGTTTATAATTCATCCCTTTCTTCATTGTTATAAAATGTTTCTGGTGCCTACAAAGTGACATGAACAATACTTGGTGTGGAGGCAAAACACTTGAATTAGATTTGAGACTCTTTTTATCCAAATATGTGTGTGTATCTGATCTTGGAACTTCTATGATTTCTCTGGGGCTTAAATAAAATGAACTGTGCAAGAAATAATAAAGTAAAACATTAATAAATACTAGTTATTTCCAAATCTCTGTTCTTGATTTTAACATGGAGCCTAGTGAACAACAACAACAACAACAACAACAAAACCAATCAAACAAACAAACATAAAAACAAGACTATGTTGTGTTTGGTAAGTTTCTGTGTTCTAAATGGAAAGTATTGTGTTACATTTCAAATCTATATAACTGAGTAATATAGATTCCACTTGGCCTTTGCTGCCTAAAGTGAACATGCATAATTCACCCATATCAGATCTTTTAATAAGGACTTAAGAATAAGAAATGCTAATAGTGAGTCTCCTGTAATAAGGCGGAAGGTGGCTCAGGAGAGGAGTCAATGGGGCCTCTGAATTCAAATGACAAGAGCGTACATAAAAGTCAAATATGTGGTAGAAATATTTATAATCCCAGTACTCTCATGGTGACTTAGCTATTTTTCTGTAACTGATAAGAAACACCATGACTAAAAAAAAAAAAAAAAGAAAAAGAAAAAACAAAAACAAAAACAAAAAAACAAACAACAATAACAAAAAAACAAAAACAGAAAAAAGGAAAAAAAAAGCAAAAAGCAAAACAAAAACTTAGAAAAGTTGGGGACTTGCTTCTAATTGTCGAGGATGAGTCCCTGCCCACCACGGTGGTAATGTGGTAGCAGGCAGACATGCATGGTGCTTCTGAGAGCTCATATCTAATTCACAAGCTGGAGGTAGAGATATAGAAACAGGTCCCATCTTCTCTGAAAAGACCACACCTCCTCATCCTTCCTCAAACAGTTCCACTAACTAGGGACTAGAGATTCAAATATATGAGCCTATAGGGGCCATTCTCATTCAAATCACAACATATGGAGAGGTGGAAGTGTGTGCAGAAAAAATCCTGAAAGTCTGTTGGTTAGCTAGCCTGGTGTATGCAGTGGCAGAGCAAAAGAGAGAGCCTGTCTCGAGCCAGGACCAGTGCCCAGGGTGTACTCTGACTGCTGTGCCACATAGTGGGACATGTACACCTGTGTTCACACACAAGAATGCACACACTTGTGAACAGTGTACACACAAAAAAATAAAGAATGAGAGAGAGAGAGAGGGAGAGAGAAAGAGGGAGAGACTATGTGTTCAAAACTATTTTATTAATTTGGACTCTCTGTTCCTCCAATCAAAATTGTTTTTAAAATACCTTCTCTTCTGATAGAGACAACCATTGAAATAAAAATTTCAATGCACCAAAGATGGTAAAAGACTGACCATTCCGAGGGTAGTCTATAACTGCATTACTTAGGAAACCTATATGCTATAACAAAGAGTCCCAAATCCCCGCTCCTTTATCATAAGTGTTTGCCTCTTTGGGCAAGAGTGCCACAGTAGTGTGCCTGTCTTTCTGATTTCTGTGGACCCCTGTGCTCCAACTGGCACCCCAGGCATAGGATTCCTCCCATCTCTGCATACTAGCTTTCTAAAGGCTTGGGGCATCTTCTCTGTTTGCCTACAAATGGGAAAAGAGCAGACGTGGAAAATCGTGGGGCAGTTTGAGTGGACCGGCAGCCACAATCACTTCTACCGATATCCTATTGACAATGCAGTTACTTTGCTCCACCTAATTGCAAGAGAAATTTGAAATATCAAGTCGCCTAATGTCTAGGAAAGTAAAGAAATGGGTCTGAGAGAAGCCTTTTCCCTGCTGTGTTAGTACGTCATGAATAGAATTTTAAATTCAAAACTACATTGATCACAAACAGTAAGATTATCGCTTCCATTTTTTAATGTGTTCACCTTACTGGATTTTATTTTTTTCAGGTAATGGTTGATGAATCCCTTTTGTCTGATGATCCGGATTCATATGTGACACTGACAGTTGTCCGGTCCCCAGGAGGCAAAGGAGCTGTCTCTCTTCACTGGGCTATAGAAGAGAAGGCCAAAGACGCTCTCAGTCCTTGGAATGGGACACTTCGTTTTGATGAGGTACAGCCAGGCTCCAGTTCCTGTAACTTTTTTTTCTTTTTCACAGACTGGTATCGTTTAGGAATTCACATGCTAATGTTCAATATTATTTCTGTTTTATTTTTATTCATGTGCACAGAGAGGAAGTTGGAGGAGACAAGGAAAGAGGGAGAGGGGAGGAAGGAGGGTATCTGATTGCAGATTCAGACCTGGTCTCTGTAACACAGTCCAAAGCCCTTTCACATCCCCTATTGCCTGAACAGCTTGGGTCACCCAGACCAACCAAACGTCTGCGTGTCATCCCTAATACCAACCTTTCTGTGGCCATCACATACATTTTATCACTGAATCTGATTTTCTATTTTCTTTTGAATTTGCTTTTTTAATATCCCAAGTGTGAAGGACTTCCACAATGAGTCAAAACTTTGATAGCGCAAGTCTTTAAGACAATGTCACATCTACAGACATCTAGCCAACATATTAAATGCACACCATAGTCACATAATGTGAAAGAGAATCTCAAACGTACAGACTTACATTTTTAAAACCGTTGACACTTCGATACCATGATTGAGATACCGCCTCAGGCATCCACTGCAGAGCTTTGAGGTAGGGACACACTCAGGAGGACTGTCTCAGCTCTTTGCGCCCTTGCACCCCTGTGCCTCTGAGAGGAGCACCCGGGTTCTCTCTTGCAGCATTGACCCTTGGATGTGCTGCTCTCAGCAGCTCCTCCCCTTTCCCATCAATCCTCTGCCTCCACTTCACAGTGTGCAGCTTCATGTGGATGCGAATTGGCTTTGCAGTCTCATCTTTAAGATTGTCATTCATCTATAGCCATGTGTAGTATATAGAGCTATTATGATGAACCCAATTTTATGAAGAATGTATTTTTTAATTATGTGAGAGCTTCTAGAAAAATAGGACGTCTTGCCTCTGTCTTGTGGGAAGCCTCTAAGTCCTGGGGTGCAGTGGTGCCCTCTCCCACTGTGTTCTCGTGGGAAGCCTCTAAGTCCTGAGGTGCAGTGGTTCTCTCTCACTCCCATCACGTTAGTCTCTTCTTCGTTTGTGCCCCTGTGGTGTCTACACACTTGAAGAAGGAACATCTTCCCCAGTCAGCCCACTGTCAGTCCAGCTCAGAAGTCTCTTCCATGTTTATGTTTTTATTAAGTAAATCAAACAAATGGCCATGTGCTCTTGGTATGAACCTCAGAAGTTCAGAGGGATGGAAAATAAACAAAATCCCTCCACTCCTCTTGTGATGACCACTGTTGATAGTTTCTCTCAAAACATGTGTACCTTCTTCTTCCACACACGAAATTTATGCTCAGCATCTGTTCTGTAACTTGCTGCTTTATATTACAATTTAAGTTAAACATGCACTTTTCATGCTAACCAAATTGCAGTTAAAACTTGAGTAAAGCTGGGTGGTGGTGGCAAACACCTTTATCCCAGCACTTGGAAGGCAGGTGCAGGCAGATCTCTATGAACCCGAGGGTGATCTGTCTACAGCATGAATTCTAGGACAGCCAAGGTTACATAGACAAACCCTACCCCGAAAAACAGAACGAAACAAAAACAACAGCAAAATCTTGGGCGAATGCATCGTTGTGCTCAGCGTTTACTGTTAACCCTCCCCATTCCTACAACCTCTTTGTCACGGTTTTGGGAGTTCAGAGATTGATATCTGCCCTTCCGTTCTCACCACTTGCTGTGTGCTTTATTTGCTGAAGTTCTTCCTGCCCGCTTTTGTACTATGACAGATTTCCTGTCAGCCGTGCTTCTCTTATAATATTGGAAGGAACCATGAACAAATTTTACATCTATTGAGAGTAACTGAAATCTTCTTCCTTCTATTTAGCATCCGTGGAGCTAAGTAAGTTTGTTAATGTTGATCACATTTGGTTCCCAAAGTACAAAATGAGAGCAGCAAGGTTTAGCCAGGGAAGACCTAAGGACTATGGGAAATACTCTTTGTGAGCAGGCTGATATCCTGACACTTCGAAGTACTCAATAAAATAGATGATGTTTCCAAAGAGCTAACGAAAATAGCCGTTTCCTCTCAATGTAGTGAGACCTATCTTTCCTACATTGTGTGTTTAAGATTCAATAACTTTGAAGTTGCAAAGTCAGTAATAGTTTATATTTCTGTCTCTCTGAAATCACCTACAGTGTTCATCCCCAAGTTGCTGCTCCATAGAGCTTTTGTCTAGAATATAAATAATAAACATTTCATGGAAAACTTTGCCATGATCAAATATCTTTAAAAACTCTTGATTGAATTAAAAAGATTTTTTTGAGGGGTTAGGTGAGGAGATTTATTTTGTTTTTGAAAGAAACTTTGTACTTAAGTAAATTTTGAATCGCCAAGAGAGGTTTTCTGACTTCATCTCCCCATGAATCATCCCCATTGGCTCTTTGTGTCAGAGCCATTGTTACCAGTGATAACCGGCATCGCAAACTGTTGATTTGCAGTGTCCACCTTTCTCTCTTCTTATCGGCTGTTAATTCTGTTGAGAACTGGAGACTCTGTGACATGAAAAGTTGCCTTCCATGTTTCCTAGAAGGCAGTGTGAGTACACAGAATATCATAGGTTCTTATGCTTCACGAAAGCGTTGTTAATACTTCTGCATTTGTGGATTCGTACTCCTTGGTCAGCCTGATGCTTTCACAGTCGTTTGCTGACACAGGCAGAGTGACGGAAAATCCAGTTTCATATCCTGTGCACTCCTGCTGAGGGAAGACAGAACGGAGTCATTTCCACCTTATGACACAAACAAATGTCCTTTTCATAGGGTATGTTTAAAGTCATTTTCCTCATCTGTGGATTCGTAATTTCTCTGCTTAAAGTGAGTCCCACTGTAGCGCTTCGAGTCATCACTGTAGCGTTTTGAGCATCAGGGAGGCGGTTATGCAACATAATCAGCAAATGCCATGTGTGTGCTAGAGTAACTATGCTCAGGTATGAGCTGGGGTTCTTATTTAACACAAAAACATGTTAGAGCAACTCTAGGTTTCAAATAATATCCATATATCTAGTAACAACCAAAAAGTTCCCCAAAGTCTATTTGAGATTGCAAATGAGTTTTGGAGAACAGACAAACTTACTGTCCAAGGATGGACACTGTCTGGGGCACCTCTGAGAAACATCTGAATGCACAAATAAGGATGTGCAAGAATATCTGTGGTGGTATTTATTAAAGTAGTAACTAAGCTAGCAGTTAGACAAGCATGAATGTGTCCATGCAAACAAGGGAGCCTCCGAAATAACCAAAGAATAAATGGACTCCACAGGGAAACACAGATGACTCCAGCAGCATGAGGTACCAAAGGGCAGCTTGCGAGGTGGAGAGTGCATCTAACAGAGTGGTGGGGGAAGGGGGGGACAGCACGGGAAGGTGGGCCTCAAATGAGAGTTAAAGAGAGACAAGCAGAATATAAAAAGAGAAAAGCTATGTGCTCTCCAGTAGGGATATCATTGATACATAAAGTTAGTATATTTGTGACAGCATTAAAGATAATAATTCCTATCAGGAAAATGTAAAATATCCAGGAATATGTTCAGTAAGAAACAAGCAAGAGGTACATGGAAACAGAGAACCAAACCTGCAGATAAATGGTAACCTGTAACAAAGCACTGGGCTTCGAGAGAGACTCCAGAGTCTCCTTTAGCCCCTGCTGCGACTTTCACGCAGGATTGCCAACCAGGAAGACAGCACCAACCTAACACTGGGGAAGCCAGGAGCTTGTCCAGGGGCTGTGGGCAGCAGACATCCCAAGAACTGTCGAGTACAGCATGGAATGGTCTCTCCTTTGGGTGCAGTGCACTGGCCTCGGTCTCCTTAGGATGTGAACAGTTAGCCCTGCAAGTTTGGGTTTTCAATGCTGGAAATTTTTCAATAAATTTAAGAGTTGTGCTATTTTTTTTCACTTTTCTCCTCAAGAAACTAAAATAAAATTTGTGGTTAGAGATAATTTTTACATTGCAGTTCTTCCTGCATAGAATTCCAAATTATAGGTGACAAAATGGCCTCTTACACAGTTTATGTGCGTAAATAACAAACATTCAAAGTTTGATTTCATTACTGTTTTTTGAAACTGTTTCCTCTAATTTAAATGCTATAGAATGAGCACCAAAAGGTCATTGCACTGCGTACCCTTCAAGACAGCATACTGAAGGAGGACAGGCACTTCACCATTGAGCTGACAGGAACTGAGGAGGTAGAAATATCTCCAACTAAAGGTAGGAAAAATTCACTTAATTTTCTAAATTAAATGTATCCAAAAATCAGGAGTTACAAAGATAGGCAGTGCTGGGTTTTGTAATTTTTTTAAAAGTGTACTTTAATGTAAGTATACATTTATCTGTCTTATAGGCAAAGTTTTTAAAATTAAAATTATAATAGAAAATTTACAATTTATACAGTCATAGATCAAACATCATATACTTCTGGATTTTATGTTTGTTTTAATGTAAAGCTGTGCATTATAGTATTGATTGTATAATGAAATATGAGCACTAAATGATTAAACAGTAGTGAGCTATTGAATGTCACTACACATTGTAGCAAAATGTTGTAGGAGGGAGTGGGCTGCTTGTCATCCCAGCCGCCCCGCTAGCCTACACCCGAAATAATCACACAGAAACTGTATTCACTTAAATACTGCCTGGCCCATTGCTTCTAGCCTCTCATTGGCTAATTCTTACATCTTGATTCAACCCATTTCTAATAATCTGTTTGTCACCACAAGGTCATGGCTTACCGGGAAAGATTCAGCATGTCTGACCTGGCAGCTCCATGACAGTTCTCTCTCTGACCTTCTTCCCAGCATTCAATTCTGTCTACTCCACCTACCTAAGTCTTGCCCTATCAAAAAGCCAAGGCAGTTTTTTTATGCAACCAATGAAGGCAACACATAGACAGAAGGAACTCCTACACCAGCAAAAATATTTTCATTACATTAAAATAAATAATAATTATTTTTAAATTAAAAACTGTGTGTGTGTGTTCATGTGAGTGTGTGCATGGGAGTGAGGTGTGTGTGCAGGCCAGAACTGAATCTCACTGGAGCTTCTGTTACCTTGAGTTATGAGCTGCCCTACAGGAGTTGTGAGCTGAACTCAGGTCTTCAGTAAGAACTCTACATGCTTTCTTAAATGCTGAGCCATGTGCCTAGCCCCAAGAATTATTATTTTAAATATTTATTTAATTCTGTTTGTGTGTGTGCCACTGTGTACACACATTTGTACCATTGTGTAAATATGTGTGTGTGTGTGTGTGTGTGTGTATGTGTGTATATGTGCATGCATGTTCAAGGGTGCCCAGAGAGGCCAGAAGAGGCCATTTGATCCCTTTGAGCTGGAGTTTACAGTGTTTGTGAACTGCTTATTGTGGATTCTGGGACTGAAATTTGGTTGTTTGCAAGAGCAATAGATACTCTTAATTCTGTATCAACTCTCCAGTCCCGAGAATCCTGAATTACATGAATAATTGTTGTGATATGCAATTGGACTTCATATGCTCAATATAATCCCATTTTGTTATGTCTTTATATTAGATGAATTTAGAATTATTACCTTGAAATGCTATTAGTGATGCTTGATTGCCTATAGTTTTTTATGTATTTATAGAATCATATAGTGCATAATTTAAAAACACATGAAGTATGATTATGATAGCTTATATCTACATTTCTATCTAAAATTAATCGCTTGAACATTTTAAACTTTCATAAATAGGTATCCTGGTTCTTAGATCTTTATAAGGAAAGACAGGTCTTTAATTATTTCATTTTCTTTGAGTAATATAACAACAGAAAGAATGAGAAGTTTTAAAATAGAAATGATTGTTTTACGGTCCTTTTATAACATTGAGACTCATGCTAAACAAGGCTCTGAGACTGCCAGTGGGTGCTGTGGCCAGGGATGTTCTCAGAAGTGTTTATAAACCTAAGGTGGTTGGTTACTCTTCCTGCATTTTAGTCCATGGTATTGACCAACCTGTGAAATAGTCCTATCAAGGCACCATATCCTGCATAAGTTTTAAACTTGGTGAATGACATCTCATGAGAGTGACGGGGCTGATGTTGCACAGGATGACTCTGCACAAAGTAGGAATGTATCCATGGGGCAGGGTACACCCAGTATCAGCATAACAAAGTCTATGTATGTCTGTCTTATTGCAGCCTACTTGTAGATGACAAACCACTCTTAGTTTCATTAACCTATTGCAAGGAATGCAAGTGTGCAATAATCTGTTCATGTTTTTGGTTTTGTTTCCTATGAAATTCCAGTGTGTGCTCCTAGAAATAATGCCCATCAAAGTATGGCTAAGTTGTTGTATGTATTCTCAAATTATTAGATGATTTAATTTCCACTTCAATAATTGTAAGTGATCAGCTTCATGACTAGTGGTCAGGAAATTCAAAGTTAAGAAAGGACCCTCAAGAATCCCATTGACAAAGCCACAGAGCCTAAAGCTGTAGGGTGAACGCTGAAGGAGTACTTCAGGCATGCGCTAAAGGAGAGCTTGCTTACCAGCCAGTGAAAGTGGGGCTTTTGCCAAGCATCTCCGGGCTGTTTCTGCAAGTGTGATCATGGGAAGGAAAGTCTTCAAATACTCCAGTGCCTCAGTGTGTCTTTCAACCCTCCTAGTGAAAGGTGGCTAACAGTTCCTACCTGCTGGTATTGCCATCTTAGTTTAATTGGTGTGTGTGTGTGCGTGTGTGCGTGTGTGTGTGTGTGCACATTTACATGTTTGCATCAAAATGGACTATATGATCTGATCTGAAACTTAGGTAGTGCATCGATAATCATTCGAGGAGATAACGACGCATCAGAAGTGGGGATTGCTTTGTCATCTAGACACATCATTATTGGGGAACCCTCAGCAACGTATAATGGCACTGCCTTCATCAGGTGAGGATTTTAGGAATTTTTTCTTTGTTTAATTTAGTTAGCCTAGAGCAGGGGTTCTCAGTCTGTGGGCTAAGACCCCTTTGGGGTTGCATATAGGATAACTCACACTTTAGATATTTACATTACAATTCAAAACAGTAGCAAAATTACAGTTATGAAGTAGCAGGAAGATAATTTTTATCATCGGGAGTTCACCACATATGAGGAGCTGTATTAAAGTTCACAGCATTAGGAAGATTGAGAATGCTGCCTTGATCACCATTCTCAAGCACACATAATACTCATTACCACATTGTGTACTGGTGGGCATTGTGTGGAGAATAGGACGACCCTCAGGCCAAAATTAAAATCTCTACCCAAGCTGTGTTGTAGCTAGATCAAGAGTAGTCTTGCTCTTTTATGGATGAACTGCACAGCCCACAGCCAAGAGCATCCACGGGGGTAAAATTAGCAGCCCCATCGGGTACCACATCCACAAGGAGTCACTCCTTCTGTAAATCTACACAGTATGCAGCTTTTATCCCAATGCTCGGCAGATCTCTGTGATCTGAGCCCAGCCTAGCCTTCTTAGCAAAGTCCGGGACAGATAGGGCTACATAGTGAGATCCTGCATCCAAAAATTCCCAAATTTAGAAAAGTATGGTAAATCAAAGCAAAATTGCTTTTATTTCAGGAGTAAACGTATAGATTTATTGATCAAAAGGTTTGCTTCATACATTATTGGGGTAGAAATAAGATAAATTAATTTTAGTAATTGTTACAGAGAAATCATTTGATAAATTTAGCAGCAAAACATGACAAGCAAAAAATGTAAACTTAAGTTTTTCAATATAGCAGAGCGTAGCTCCAAGTTTTAAAACCCTTCTTCTTAGTCAGGGAGAGCACCAAGGTGTAGTCTCCTCCTGCCAGCCACTGTTATAAGGGTATGAATTAGTTTGACAATATTAAAAGGTAGCATATGTTGTATAAAGATATTAAACATTAAAAAGTTACCGATTGTAAGTGTGAAAGTTTTGTGCATGGAAAAATCTAGAAATTCAGCACATAGCACCATTAACCTGTTAATTCATTAAGATTGCTGGTCAACCCATGGGAGGCCTGCCCGTTCGGGAATGAGGTTAAGAAGGAATGTGTGTGGGTTGATAGATGGGAGGTGGGGGAAGGGAAATGGTGGTTGGTGCGTAAAATAAATGAAAAAATATTAAAAAATAGTTGACTAATTTCATGGCAATTTTATGCTCACACAAAAATGAGGGGAGTAACTAAAATTTTCCACATTGAAAAAGATTATTAGCCAACAGGTCTACACATAAGATTCAGTTGCATTTCCAGCTAATACAGCTAACGGAAAGCCACTTCCAGCAGAAGGATTAAGAGCATCTGTTTCTCAGCCCAGACTCCACCACATAACTGAGTCAGTGTGGCTGGGGCAGGCTGGGCCCCCACATTTCCTTCCAAGGAACGAAGCAGCAGTCAGCAGTGCAGTAGCTGGGCTGGGTCCATATGCAGCTGTCTGAAGCCCATACCTTGTCTGGACTTCCTCCTTTCCATGCGGCTGCTCACGCGTTTCTGTTCTTCAGAGGACCTGTTAGGCTGCCCATAGTCGATGTGAATGTTAAATAAAATTCATAAATGCTGATTTTTGTTCCTTTAAACGTTCAGATTTAGTGTTCATTTTTGTCGATGTAGACATATGCTAGTTTAGGGATTCTTACATTTCCACCTTGGAATTCTAAGACTTTTGCCTGGTTTACTATTGATCAGCAAAGTTGTTTAAAAGCGTAATATTCTTGAGATAAGTAAAAATTGGTTGAAAGGCACAGAAAATCTTTAGGGAATACCATGACTTAAAAATGTACTAAATGTGTATCCATGTATTGTTGCAGCCTTGTTCGTGGCCCAGGGGTCTCTGGGGAGGTCACAGTGTACTGGAGGCTAGTTCCTCCTTCTGTGGGGGAGTTTGCCGAAACGTCAGGACAGCTGACAATGCAGGATGGACAGTCTGAGGCGACTGTAGTCATTCAGGTACCAGTGTGACTGCTGTCTGTTAGCCCGTGCATGTGCGTGTGTGTGCTTGTGTGTGCGCATCCGTGTGTGTGTGTGTGTGTGTGTGTGTGTATGCGTTTGTATGTGTGTAGAATCGGAGGGAGATTACAGAATCCATGGCTGTTTCTATGGATAGGACACTTCCTTACATTTTATCTTTTTGGTTTTTGTAACTTCTCCAGGCTCTGAATGATGACATCCCTGAGGAGAAGTGTTCCTATGAGTTTCAGCTGACTGGAATCAGTGAGGGTGGGGCACTGAATGAAGCCAGCGTTACCGCCAGCGTCACCATGGTGGCCAGTGATGTCCCTTATGGCCGGTTCTCATTTTCACATGAGCAGCTTCGAGTCTCAGAAGCAGCACAGAGGGTATGGGCGCGGGCTGCTTCAGCTCTTACTGCTTCTTTTGTTTGTAGTGTGCTGAGCAGACTTCAAAATGCTCGTCATTTTCGTTTCCTTTCTAAACCTTTCCCCCAATGGATTGATTTCTTTTTGGTATCATTATTATAACATGTAATTTCTATAATTGTATAGAGTTAAATTTAATTCCAGCATAATCCCAGTAAAAAGAATCTTTAAATAGAGATGATTTGTTCAGTGGATTAAACATTCAAATTAAGCAGGTAAACAATTTTCTTCTAGGTTAATGTCACAGTTGTCCGCTCGGGTGGCTCTTTTGGACGTGTGCGAATCTGGTTTGAGACTGGTAGCCGGACGGCCAAGGCAGACTGGGACTTTGTTCCCGCATCAGGGGAGCTCCTCTTTGAAGCCAGAGAGAGGGCGAAAAGTCTGCATGTTGAAATCCTTGATGACAACCTTCCTGAAGGCCCGGAGGAGTTTGCTCTTGCCCTTACAAAAGTGGACCTCCAAGGAAGGTAAAGGAAAGGAAATGGGGGCGTGAGGAGAAAGCAAGAGGGGAGGACACTGGGCCAGGACTGAACAGAGAAATTACGACAGACTGCTACTTTCCTAGTTTTCTGGACTTTACCCCCCTACTTCCATGCTGAGAGGGCATGTTCCTGTTCTTTGCATTCGTCCGGCAAAGTCAGGGACTTGCTGTGGCATCTCACAGTTCCTGTGGCGTTAGCCCAACTACCTTCCAGGGCAGCACTCATATGGGGTGGCCCTTCTGAACCCCTGAACGAGTGGAAGTGGGAAGCAGCTGTCCTTGATATACCAAAGTCTGCTGTCTTCTCGTGAGCCAATGAGATCGATCCTTGCTCAATAGCAGTTTAAAATGGAATGGTAGTTGACAAAACTTATGCAGCATGTTTTCAATGAAAACTCAAGATTCATCATATTGAGGGTTGTGTCTTCTCCTGAGCTGGCTTGATTGACATAGTAGGAGGCATCGCTAGCACAGTGAACTGCTCTTGGTTGACCCAGTCACCCCTATTCATTCTACAAAGGGCCCAGGAGGGGACCTTTTCCTAAAACAATGCATGAATTCAGAGAAGACGGGAAGTTTTCTTATGGATTAAAAAATATATATCCATTACATAGTGTCTTCAAGTTCCTATAACTGCAAGGAAATACCATGACCAAAAAGGCAAGTTGGGGAGAAGAGGGTTTATTTATCTTATACGTCCATATTACTGTTTATCATTGAAGGAAGTCAGGACAGGAGCTCAAACAAGTCCGGAACCAGGAGGCAGGAGCAGAAACAGGAGCCACGGAAGGTGCTGCTCACTGGCTTGCTCCTCATGGCTTGCTCAGTCTGCCTTCTTATAGAACCCAGGACCACCAGCCCAGGGATGGCACCACCCACATGGTCTGGTGGTCTCATTCATCACTAAATGAGAAAATGCCTGACAACTGGATCTCATGGAGGCCTTTCCTCAACTGAGGCTCCTTCCTCTGATGACTCCAGCTTGTGTCAGGTTGACACACAAACCAGCCAGTACACATATAAATTTTCCCAATTCAGTATTTCACTCAGAAGCATATGTAGAGTGTGCATTCTTAGAGAGAGAGCTAAAACTGTATTTTGAGTTCATATCAAGTCTTCCACTTTCAAGAAATGATTCGGTGTCTGGCAGTGGGAATTCAGTCCCTTCCCTTGCTCAGTCTTGCTTACCTGAATGCAGTGTGGAAAGAGCAGCTCCCCACCTGTGCCAGCATGTTTGCGACTTTGATTAGCTAGGACTTGGAGATTTTGCTATCTTGGTTACTCTTTCAGAGATAAATTTCCACGTGAATTCTGGGAAACAGTTTTTGCTTGCTGATAATTACTAGGCTTCCTTTGATACGAAAGGAGCAATAGAATACAGTGTGCTTCCTATTTTGCCTCTCGGCTAGAGAACTGCTGCTTTGGTGGGACTTCTGGTATCCAGGCAGTCCAGGGCAGATCTCCTGGTGCTGAGGAGCGCAGTGGCTCCTCCCATCTTGTGGTTCAGCCTGTGCTGCGATCTTATTTAGCAGGTCTCAACATTTCAATATAAGATGGCTGCGAACACCATGTTAGAATTTGGGAATTGAAGGAAGGATTGGAATTGTCTTGTATCTTTTAAAAAATCCTTCTCTTCAGGAATTGAAATGCCATAAGGACCTGAAAGTCCATGCTTGTTGATGGGAGTGACATCAGTCTGAGTCTTTTGCACAGATAGGTTGTTGTTATTCAAGTAAGCTGAGGACTGGATTGGAAGATATTGATTATAATTAAATTGCATTGATTTTTAGTCTTATTATTTTTACTTTGCCCAAACTTGTAATTTTATATTAGCCTTTATTTCATGTAAGCGCCGATACTTGGGAGCAACATAAAAACTTTGCTTCACACAACACAGCCTTAGTGTTGGAGATACTTAAGGTCGTTACAGTGCTGGGGTAGAGCATTTGCCAAGCATGCATAAGGCTGTAGTTTCATGGTGCAGTGCTGCAGTGTAAATGAAGCAGTGCAATACTTAGGGGAACTACGGTATGGGAGCTAGAAAGACCGTTCTGTTCACCTACACATGTGTATGCTTGTTCTCTTGTTGGGTTTTAATTTTTGTTTCCTATGACTTTGCAAGAGGGTATGATTTTACCATCCAAGAGAATGGACTCCAGATAGATCAGCCTCCTGTAATTGGGAACGTCTCCATTGTTCAGATCATAATAATGGAAAATGATAATGTGGAGGGCATCATTGAATTTGATCCGAATTACACGGCCATCTCAGGTAAGCCTACTTGGCTTGTCCTAATGATCACAGCATTCTCTGAACTGTGAAGGAATCTGGATTTTTATATGCACTCTTTTGTCTGATCACAAAAATATCCCTACATTAAAAATTATTTTCAGTTACTTTCAGGGAGTCTTGAATCTCTGTATTTTGCAAAACCAAATGGTTACTCAATCTAGGAAAATAATTGATTTTTAAACTTCAAGGATAATTAAAATATGTCTGTTTATAGCATCGTTAAGGGGCTGGAAAGATGAGTCAGTAGTTAAGGCTGCTTGATGCCTATCTTAGCTGGATTTCTATTGCCAAGATAAAGCCCCATGGCCAGAGCAGCTTGAGGGGGAAAGGGCTCATGGCATCTTCTGGCTGTAGTCAGGATGGGAACTCAAGGCAGGACCCTGGAATGGGGAGCTGATCCCGAAGCCGTGGGGAGCTCTGCCTGCTGGCCATCCTCCCGGCTTGCTTAGCTTGCTTCCTTATCCCATCTAGGACTACCTGCCCAGGGGTGACAGCACTCATAATGCTTGGGGCCCTCACACATGTATCATTAATCAATATAGCACCCCACAGATTTGCCTACAGGCCAATCTTATGGATCTATTTTTTCAATTAATATTCTCTCTTCCCAAAAACCGAACAACATGCTGCTGTTGCAAAACACTGGAGTTTGGTTTCCTATATCCACATCTGGCTGCTCAAAACTGCCAGGAATTCCAGCTGCAGGGGATCTGATGCCCTCTTCTGACATTTGGGAAACTTGCACATTCAAAGACACATTTACATGAATAAAAATTAAGTAAATCTAATTCTTTAAAAAGAAAAAACTTTCAAATTTATGTAAATTAATTTGATATGCTCATAGCTCAGTGTCTGCCTACTCTCTAGTGAATACCACCATTCAAATGCACATTCTCCCGTGCTGCAGCTCCAGATCAGACCTGGCCTTGGTCACGTCTTCAGCCCCTGTCAGGCTTGCCCAGGGCTGCAGTTCCCTTAGGTGCGATCAGGACATAGAATGCTTGGTTACATTCCTTTCTGGGCAAAAAGAGAGGACTTCCTTTCTAAAATACGCTTCTGTTCAATGGTAGAATGTAAATATAACTTAGAATTAAGGTGGGTGGTGGTGCACGCTGTTAATCTGGCACTCAGAAGGCAGAGGCAGGCAGATCTCTGTGAGTCCAAGGCCAGTCTGATCTACAGAGCAAATTCTAAAACAGCCAAAGCTATACAGAGAAACCCTGTCTCTAAAAAATTAAAAACATACATAATTTAAAAATAAACATATTACATTGTTTTTGCAAATCGTTCATTGGCTTCATCGCCTCTCCTCAGGCTCCTTGTCTAGCTGTCTTGAACACTGGACAGAACCCCCTTCTATGGACTTTTTGGATAAGACATGGCTTATTGCTTAATCTATTTTGTAAATTTCAGCCCATTACTGATAAAGTGATGTTGCTTGCTTGCATCAAGAAATAAATATGATTTTTTTTCTATTTATCCATTTCTCAATAATTTACTGCTTCGGGGAGGAATTTTTCTAATAAATATATTTTAAAATTTGAATTTGAATTTTGGAATTGAAATTAAACATGAATATTGGTACTTTCTGATTTTTTCTGGTTAGAAATACAAGTTTATATATGTAGATTCTAAAATATTCATACAAGGGCTATTGAGATAGCCCAGTGGGTAAATGTACTTGCTACCAAGCCTGAAAACTGAAATCAAACCTGGAAACCCAGCTGGAGGAAGAAGGGATCTGGCCTCTGAGTACCACACAAGTGCCATGTATGCATATATAAATATGTATGTGTATATACACACACACAGACACACACATAGATGCACATTAGCGTACACACACATATATATGTACACACACACAAAATATAAATATGAAAAATACCCCACGATAGAAATAGCGTAAGGCTCCCTTACATGCACTGTTTATATTTAACTGAATGTGTAGAAGTGATCCAGATTACTTCCCCTTTATGGACACCCTGTGTTTATCTCCCACCGTCTCAAGCAAGAGTTTCTTATTTGTGTACAACATGAAGAGAAAGAGTGCTCATAGGTTGCTTACATTTTTAAAAATTAGTCATTTTAAATCTCAACATCTGGCAAACTATATTCTTCATAAAAAGATAAAAGGGACAAAACTTTCACTAATGTTTAAGTTTTGCTAATTTCACTTATGAACCGTGAAAACCATGAGCGTGAGCACTGGACTATTATTTTGAGTTGCCTAGGACAGGTTGGCTGTATCGTGTAAGCGTCCTTTGCTTTTTCTGGTAACCTGGCTAATTGCACATTCCGTTCCAGTGGAGGAAGATGCCCGCATGATCACGATCCCAGTGCTGAGGCTCCGTGGAACTTATGGCCACGTGTCAACTGACTTCAGGTCCCAGGGCTTCTCTGCTGTCCCAGAAGGTTACGTACTGCACGGCAGCACAGTCACCTTTCAGCATGGGCAGAACCTAAGCTTTATAAACGTCTCCATCATCAACAGCAGTGCAAGGTTGGTCATAGAGGAAGCAGTGGGTACCCAGGCCTGATTCCTGCTGACAACACTTGAGAGAGAGAGAGAGAGTAGTTGGGTACCAGGAAAGAGGACGGCACTGTGGTTGTGTACCTCGTGTTTGTCTCAGATAAAAAAAAAAACTCTAACTTCTGCTCCTTACACAGCCTGATAAGGTTGTGGCAGCATCTTTGGGTCCAGTTTCTGAAGCCTTCCACAGTTTAAAAGTCTGATGTCTGGGTCGTGAGAGCTTCATGTTGAGTCTGCTTTTTTGCTGAGCACCCTTCTCCTGGTGTGTGCCTGTTGTGCCTTGAATATGGATGGCCAATTTGGGAAATGTCTAGCTATTTGGATTTTTCAGGTATTTTAATATGTTTAGACTCACAGATTGCTCCTTTTTGCCATGTAGCGAATTTGAGGAACAGTTTGAAATTCTGCTCACTGGAGCTTCTGATGGAGCAATCCTTGGGCGCCACCTAGTGAGCAAAATCACAATTATCAAGAGGGACTCCCCGTTTGGTGTCATAAGATTTCTCAACCAAAGCAAAATTTTGATTCCTAACCCCAACTCCACAATGGTTTTACACTTGGTGCTGCAGCGGACTGGAGGACTCTTGGGAGAGAGTCAGGTAGGGTCATTCTTCCTCTGATGTTAAAGTAATGCTGATGTTTTATACATAACGTTGGATCTTCTTATTCCCCAGATGGGTTTGTTTATTTATTTGTAGTATTTGCTAATTACAGTCAAGTGTTGAGTGGCTCCTGAGCCTGATGAAGTTTATAGAAGTGTAGAAGCTGTAAACTGTTGTCAGGAGCTCTTAGCAGCAAGTGAGGAAGCAAATGAACGACAGTGATAAACTTCAGTCAGTCCAACAAGAAGAGAACGTGTCTGAAAATGATGTTATCCCTGCTTTCACAGTGCTCACCCAGATAAACCTGAATTGTCACAAACTAGATTCTTTTCTTTTTGTTTTCTTTTCTTCTTCTTTCTTTCTTTTTTAAAATTACAACTGTGGTGAATTCCGCTTGTAATGTTGGGATACACAGTCTGAATGACCTGTGTTACCCAGTATGTGATGATTTGGGAGAAAGGAATGAAGGATCCTGCAGAGGAGCAAACCTGACTTGTTGGAGGGAGAAGTCCATGTAGTTGGGGATTAAATGAGAGGGTCAGATTGTGCACAGGTCGCTGATCACACAGAACTAGGACTGATGCAGGACCATCTGAGACATCATGCATGTGAAGGGCACGGCATTAAGGAAGACTTCACCAGAGAATGCGTTACCCTGTTTTCACGTGTGTGGCTCACTTATGGCTGACAAGAAGTCCGTGGAGTCGTTTGCAAGCAGGAAGAGTGGTTACGGCTTCTGTCCTGTAGACAGTCAGGAGTGATGGGGACAGAGATGACAAGATGTGGACAGGTTGTTGGGTTAAAGATGGAGGCAGAAGAAGAGAGAAGTCATGGGTGACTCCTAGAAGTGAATGTGGAATGTGGTGCCAGCCTTAAAGGTTCATGGCTGTGGTGAATATTTAAGAGTTCTGCTTTGTATATGTTAATTTGAGATCCCGCTGGGCAAGCCTAATGGAGGGGTGACGCAGACTGAGTTTGCTCATTATTAGGTTGTTAGGTGGCCAGGGATGACCAGGTATGGCAGGTGTTTATGTGCAGGGAGCCACTGAAGCCCGAACCTGTGATAGAGTCGTGAGGAGTGCAGAGCTGGGGTCAGAGACAGGAAGCTGGGGGTAAGGAGGGAAACCAGGAGGCCAAGAGTCTTGGAAGCAAGAAAGAAGGGATGTGGTTTCCAGTGGAGGGAGTGGCCAGTGCTGCAGCGCGGAACGTGATAAGCAAAAGGAACTACATGGTCCTGGTCCTTTTTCTCCAGAGGATATGAAAACGATACAATTTAGAATGATAACAATCTAAAGCATGTTTTTTTTATAATCCTAATAATAGTTTCTTATCATATATGTAAACACTTGTACTCATTTTTATAGTGAGAATTTAAGTATCTTCAGAAAAAACTGCACAGGGCAGAAATTTCAATTTTGGTGTCTATGCTACCATGCTCTGATTGGCAGAATCCAAGCGCATGCTGGACAATGTGGGACTCTTAAACTTTACCAATGTCGTATGTTTACAATGTAAATATTTAAAATATAATTTTGTTTGCCCGTAATTATTACAAATTACTAGATACTATTTTCAAGTTTTTTATTTGAAAATATTATTTTCACGTCAGGAAAGTCAGAAATTAGCCCAGTGTGTCCTAGAATAGTTTCATCTTTGTGTGTTTTTCTAATAACACACATGGTACATAACCTCTGCTTAAAACTGATCGTGCCTTGCAGGTGAGCTGGGAGATAGTGGGGCCCAATTCTCAGGAAGCCCTACCGCCACAGAATGGAGACATTGAGGATCCTGTGAGCGGTACCGTCTCCTTCAGGGAGGGAGACGGCGGTGTGAGAACCATCGTTGTCACCGTTTGTCCTCACGAGGAGACTGAGGCTGAAGAAACGTTCATAGTGCAGCTTACGCCTTTGAAAGGTGCTAAGTTAGATCCCAGAGCAAAAGCTGTCGCGATAACCGTAAGTCTGAGTGTCTTTGCTGCAAACATTTGGATCTAATGGTCTTACCAGAAAGCTGTTCCTACGGCCTGAGACACGCCAATGCTGAACAGAAATGTGAGAACACTGGGAAGGGCTGGGACGTGGCTCAGCTGGTATGCTGTGTGCATGCGTGAAACCCAGGCTTTGAGCCTAGCTTTCCAAACCCCAGCGGTGGTGAATTACACCTATAATAGATTCCCAGCATTGAGGAGCGAGAGGCAGGAGGATCGGAAATTCTGGGTTAGATACATAGTGAGTTTGGAGCCAGCCTGGTATACAAGAGACCCTGTCTAAAAATAAACAATAACATAAAGTTTTAGTAATTCTCATGAGTCAAACATTCTCATTTTTATATTAGTTAATTGCGTAATAGCTTCATTATTGATAATTTTTGTTAAGATTTTAACAGAATGCTAAATTGCTTATTTTATGATTTTAGAGAAAATTTGGTGTGGGAGAATATTTGACATATCTAGAGATGCGTTATTTATTGTGTCGTGGTAAATAGAGTATCTTGTCATCAAACTTGTAGAAAAATTCTTAACGTTTAATGAGTCGGACTAAAGGTTCCTGCTCTCTTGGCACAGTGATGTGGTGTTGGCTCTGGCCTGACTCCGGCATCTTCCGTATGAGTTATACAGTCCAGCCGGGGGAGCTCTGGGGGTGATAATTGGCTGGATCCGAAAAACAATGAAGAGAAATGATAGATTTTGTTTCTGAAAACCCTGATTGGTGTCTGAATCTGTTAGTGGTTTCCTGAGAAAGAGAACCAAAGGGAAGCACACACATACATGCACATACGCACGTGCTCATATGTATACACACATACATGCACACACATACATGCACACACATACACACGGGCACACATGTGCATGTATACCATGTGTGGTGAGATAGAGAGGGAGTAGACAGGGGAGAGAGAGGAGAAGGGAAGGAGGGAAAGAGGAGAGGGAGGAGGAATGTATGATTTGGGTCAGTAGGCAGGAAACATGGAAGAGATGCAATGGTCGTGGTATTTATTCCATGGGACAGGGACAGGAAACTCAACCATGGCCTCTAGGTTCCAATCTTCCCTCTTTATCATTCAGTCTTTCAGTTGATTGGATGAGATCTACCCACATTATTGAGGGTAATATGTTTTATTTAGAAACAAGTGATTTGAAAGTTAATTGTATCTACAAGACTTTCCCAGCAATATCTAGAACAGTGTTTTAGACAAGTTAATATCATATCCTTGCCCATTTGGTGCATAAAATGAAACAGCATGGGGGCTGGGGAGTGTTACTCAGTGGTAAAACGCTTGCTGAGCATGCACAGTGCCTGGGCTTGATCCTCAGCATCGAAAGTAACAAGGGCTGCCACAGGGCCATTTGTCTGCTCTATGTCATAGGAGGCGTCTGAACGAAACCACCTGGCTAAATGCGGGAAGCATACGGTGGCTAAGACGCCGGCCTGAAACAGTTCCCCTCTGGACTTTCTTGAGTTACCTTTCTCATTGCTTTTTTCTTTGGAGAGTAGGAACGGGAGCGGATGTGATCTAGACAACAGTTAGTATAGTGAGGAAGATTTTTTTCCTCACTACCAAATGGATTGGTAGGTTACATTCAAGTAGTACATGTAGAATTCCTTCTGATTATCCCAGGGTTAATCTGCTAGATTCTGTCATGATTATCCTATACTCTATTGATGTCCTGTTAATGTTTGGTAGGTACAAAAGTTTGGCGATCCGAATGGAGTCATTCATTTTGCTCCTGAGTCTCTATCTAAGAAAATGTATTCCGAGCCACAGTCATCAGATGGACCCACACCCATTTCCTTCCTTGTCACAAGAGCCAAAGGTGTCTCTGGAGAGATCATGGTATTGCTTTTTATTTGATTTTCCTGAGTGAGTTTCAGCTTGCCTCATATATGTGGTTAGGGGAACAGAGAAACTTTATGATCTAGTTAATTAAAGATTTTGCTGACTTGGGGGCTGGAAAGATGGTTCAGAGGTTAAGAGCACTGGCTGCTCTTCCAGAGGTCCTGAGTTCAATTCTCAGCAACCACGTGGTGGCTCACAGCCATCTGTATGAGAACTGGTGCCCTCTTCTGGCCTGCAGGCACACATGGAAGGAATGTTGTATACATAATAAATAAATCTTAAAAAAAAGATTTTGCTGACTTGAAATTACTAGGGTTTTCAGAGGAACTAAGAGGTTTAAGTGCCTTTGCAGTCTGCAGCGAGAACCAGCCCCAAATGTGCTCAGTAAATTAAATTTGGTACAGTGAGCAGAGCCATCAGCTTCATTATCATGCAGGGCTGAGGTGTTTTGTATTTTCTCACTTACTTTAACAAGAAGTCCCCTTTCTTAAGTCCCACAGTGATTTTTGTAAATTGCTTGTCATCTTTGTCAAGGCTTTATTTCTCGGAGAACATTTCTGTGTAAGCAAACATTTTCTAAAGAACTGCATTCCATGTTTGTTGGTGAAGCCTGCATCTGTGTGCCTGGGAGCTCTGATGGCTGTGGGACCTCTGATGGCGTGTCTGTGGGAGCTCTGATGGCGTGTCTGTGGGAGCTCCGATGGCATGACTGTGTGTAAGGAGCCGCCAGGATGTCGCCTTGGTGAGATAGTGCCAGCGGTCCTACAGCCTGGAGGTATACAAAATCCTTTGATGCTGCAGCACAGGCCAGAGTGTTTTGGGGCCTTGTTTTGCATTTCAGAGCCTTGGTTCCCTGACCTGTCCTATGGCCTTGGGCCCTAGCAGAATGGCATCAACCAATCAGCATTTGAGCCTCTCACCCTAGAAAAGCAGCTGCCTTTGGGTTTTTCGCTCTCTCTTGTCATCCCTTTTCCCCATTCCCCTTTTCAACCGAGTGCTCCAATAAATTGTGATTGAGGAGGACTCTTGATTTTGTGATCGTTCCTTCTTGCTGGACAAGAAGTGCGTGTCGCAGCTGTGGGAACTCCGATGACGTGTCTGTGGGAGCTCTGATGGCGTGTCTGTGGGAGCTCCGATGGCGTGTCTGTGTGTGCTCTGATGGCGTGTCTGTGTGGGCTCTGATGGCGTGGCTGTGGAGCTCTGACGGCGTGTCTGTGGAGCTCCGATGGCATGTCTGTGGGAGTTCCGATGGCGTGTCTGTGGGATCTCTGATGGTGTGTCTGTGGGAGCTCTGATGGCGTGGTTTTAACAGATCAGGAGATCTGTTTGTTCTAATGCCATGTTTCGCAGTTTGTGAAATTCCCCTAAACACAGCATCTCTGCTCTGCGGTAAAGATGAGCTATGTTTGTTCATTAGTTTTCATTTAAAAACTGTGATCTGGTCACAGCACTGGTGAAGTAATGATTAATTATTATTATTTTAAAGATATTTATTTAAAATCAACAACAATAACGAGCTATATACTTACTTTGAAAGCTTTTAGAAACTTTGTTGTTAAACTTGCAATCAAATAAAAACATCCCACGCCAAAACTAATCTGACCCAAAGTCTGCATAACTACAGTTAAAGTGGGTGTTCTGAATGGAAGCTGTGGAGCTTTACACTCGATATCATAGTTTCAGTATCAACTATATTTTGTGTACTTACCCATCACCAAAGCAAACAAAAGCCCATGACAGAATTAGAACCGGAAGAACAATTCACTTTTTGCCTTCTTTCATAATTAGCAACCACAGCCTGTACTCAGTCCTTCCTCACCCCCAATAATTAGCATTTCTTGTTTTTCCTTCATGTTATACTATGGCCACGTGTATATTTGTTTACATATATGCATGCATTATTGGCTAGATTTACATATGAGAGAAAACATGTGTTTTTTTCCTGAGCTTGTGTATATCAATGTTCTCTTGATATTACACATTCACCAATTCTTGTGCAAAATTTTAACTTCATTTTCTCTAAAGCTTAATAATATATATACACACACACACACACACACACATATTCATTTTTACACACATATTTCATTTTCCATTCATCTGTTAATGGTCAACTTGGTTGATTCCAGTTCCTTATAGTGAATGAGGCAGTGATAAACATGGATGTAGAAGAATCTCTCCAGTATGGTATACAGGTCTCCAGATGTGTGTCCAGGGGTGATTTAGGATATATCATATACTGATTTTTTTGGCTTTGAAATATTGTGTATTGTTCACAAAATGATGTCTGTGTGGAACTGGCACTTAGAGTTTACTTGATTCTCTTTAACTTTTCAAATCGTGCTCTTTTTTTTTTTAGAAGATTTTATAATAATCTTAACAATAAGATCATCAAACACCATCCTTTAGATTCTATTTGAAAGGACCTAATGCACTTTCCGAATTAGTATATAGTTCCCAGTTTGTCTGAATGGAACAACACATAATTTGCATGTCTTTTTTGCATGACACAGAGGAAATGTAACTGGGAGGTTTCCTGTTGCGAGTTGCGTAACCTCTGACCTCGGATTGTCCTCTTCCCATCCCAGGTGCACTGGGAGCTGAGCAGCGAGTTCGATGTCACTGGAGACTTTCTTTCTACCAGTGGGTTTTTCCCCATTGCTGATGGAGCGACTGAAGCCAGCTTTGATGTCCTTTTGCTGCCAGATGATATCCCCGAGATACAGGAAGAATATGCCGTGCAGCTGGTTTCCGCAGAGGGCGGTGCGGAATTGGACCTGGAGAAGTGCACCACGTGGTTCTCCGTGTCTGCAAATGATGACCCACATGGCGTGTTTGCCTTGTATTCAGATCGTCAGTCAGTACTGGTTGGGCAGAACCTCAGCAGGTCCATCCAGGTTAATATTACCCGCCTTGCCGGGATGTTTGGTGATGTGGCCGTTAGATTTCAAATACTATCTGATAATGAAGAAGACCCTGTTGCTACTGACAATGAAGAGAGACGGCTGGTGATCAAAGATGGCACCCCATACAAAGTAGATTTGGTGCCATTGAAGAATCAGGTGTGTAGCACTATTTCAAATTCCTGAAAATTCTAGCAATACTCCGTTGGGACAGCCCAATGTACCCCCGATCATTTGAAAGGCTTATTCAATATTTAAAGGTAGCCATAAAACTGCCTTAGAAAATGCATAGTAATTATTGCATAATGCATTGCAGAGTCTGAATGGACAACCAGCTTTTCACTCAGGATCAGTAGCTAGATTTTCATCCAGATTTGGGAAGGCGTTTGTTTAGTACATACGAAGTACAATGGTTGGTGTACTGGGAACTGAAGCATGCTCCCCAGGGTTTGGAAAACTACAAAGACACAGCCTGATAGCATTGCTTCTGTAAACAGATTTGTAGCGGTGAAACTGACCGTGACTGTCTAGGTGGTAATGAGGAGGGATTCTGACAGACTTCTCTGTGGGCATTTTGTAACAGGGTGCACGGACTGGGGTGGGTAACAAGGCTCAGGGAATAAGGCATTGTCGTTAAGATGACCTGAGTTTAATCCCAGTGACACACATGGTGGAAGGGGAGAATCAGCCTTCACATAGGAGCAGTGATGTGCATGTGTTTTCCATCCCCATGTAAGTAAAGAAACAACAGAGTCCTTGGGTTCAGAGGCAGGTAGTTCTCAGCTAGTTTGAGGCCAGTGAGATCTACATAGTGAGTCCCAGACGAGCCAGGGACATACAGAAAGGCCATGGCTCCAAATAAAGTAATAGTTAAAAAAAAATAAGATGCCCTCACACAGATACACATGCCACATATGTGTACACACACACACACACACACACACACATACACACACAAACACACAACATGCCCTGATTGAAGTCTGCTAGAAGATCCTGGCAGTCTTCTCTGTTTAAAAGCATAGGAAGTGGTTGAGCATCTTTATAAATCATCGCAAGGACAGTGTGCATGTTATTCTCTGTTAGATGGGAAATGCTAGTTTAACTCATTCACCTGCCACATAATGGTGTTTGTAGTTTATGGTTAAGAAATCTGCTCAGAAAATACCTAGATTAGAGCCTTGAGAAAAATCTGAAGCTTGCTTCGTGAAACTAGAAGGGAATCTCAAGGTCATGGGGAGTGTATTGTATCTCAGTGCAGAAAGGGGAAGAGTGAATTCTGAAGCCTGTGAGGACACCCAGAGCAGTTAGGGGACGTCCTGAGCACTGGAGTGATGATGTCAGTCATGCTGGTCGGCTCCGTCAGCGAAGGAAGGACCTGAACAGAGAGGCCACACTTGCTGCTTGTTAAAGATTCTTTTCTGCAGAAGTGGTCAGAAGGTGGACAGACATGTCCAACATTCGGGAGACTGCAAAGAACTGAAGAAGCATAGAGAGCATGGTGTGTCTTCCATTGTCAATATGCCATGGCTCTACCTACAACTGCTGTAAATAGGAAGCCTTTATTGAGGATAGTGCTACACTTTAATTATGCACATCTGATCAAAGCTCCAAGGATCTGAAAGGTGGGAGAAAGAAACCCATGAGACACTCATGGGGAAGTGTAGTAGTTTTCCATTCATGTCATCCACGTTTCATACAAACATATGACCCATGACAGTTAGGCTCCTTTACATGACAAACAGCATGCCTGTTACTTAGCATGTGTCTTAGTTAGGGTTTCTATTGCTGTGACGAGACACCGTTACCATGGCAACCCTTAGAAAGAGAAACATGAATTGAGGCTAGCTGACAATTCTAGAAGTTTAGTCCATTGTCATGATGGCAGGATGCATGGCGGCGTGCAGGCAGACCCGCTGCTGGAGAGGAGACTGGGAGTTCTCCATGCAGATCAGCAGGCATCAAGAAGAGCAAGTGAGACGTCTAAGCCTGGCTGCAGAGCATCTGAGACCTCAAAGCCCACCCTCACACACCTACTCCTGCAAAGCTACACCTCTTAGCAGTTCCCCTGCCTATGGGCCTGTGGGAACCATTTCTTTCAAACCACCATACCGTGCAACCTTTTAACCTTTTCTAGGTCTTTTGTTGGTGCTTAATGAATGGGGACACTGAGACTTTTGGTAAGGCATGGGTTTCACGGTCCTTCCTGCATTTTTTGCAGATCTGTGGGAAACTGATTCAAATATGACTCTGGTTTGTCAAGTTCTAAATCTATATCCTGTGCCTAAACGTAGCAGCACTAACAGACATAATGAAAATGTGGGAAATGAGACGGGCATTAAATTGACGGGCGAGGGGTACTTTCAGGAGCAGAAATGACTGAAAGACAGCTTGTCACAAAAGCCCACCCTAGCATGGGTGACCAGTTCACAAAAGCTGGGAACCCAGCGCACACTGCAAGGCCTTCTAGGCAGCTCAGCAGGTTGGAGAGCGTCCTTTCTAAGTGACTCTGTTAATCTAAACCTCTTCCAGGAAGCTCAGCTGACAGCTTCTTCCGGACAGCTGATCTAGTCTCAGTTTTCTCAGCAGCTTGGTTCGTCTGCTCTTGGGAAAAAGGGGCCTAATGAAATTGGACAGTTTTTACTACTTCCTAGAGCTATTTTGTTGTTTACCTTCCTTCTTAAGGAGCTTCCCTGCAGGAGGGAGTGCTTCAGTCTCAGGAAGGTGTTAAATAGCACATCTCTATGGGATTCTCTCCCTGCAGGGCTCATAGATCATTGAGGAAGATGTTTGGGGTGAGTGTAGAGCCAGAGGTAGTGGAGAATTGCTATAAAACTGTTTTCTTGCTATAACAGAGCCATTGCCCACACAAACTCACAGTGACTGTGATCATATACCCAAATCCTGCACAAGAGCGAGCCAGTCAAAATCCCATGTAGACAGGGGAAGGGCTTCTAAAGGTCACAGGTAGCTGAGAAGCTCCTGGCAGTTGGTTACTGGAAGGGGAAGGGGAAGCTCTCCTGAGTTATGACCAGAGGTAGACTGTTGACACGCCAGGGGGCAGAGCTGTGCCCTGCAATACTGGCCGCTCTCAGGGGTCGATCCTCCAGGTAAGGGCTTGGGGTAAAGCTTTACTTGCATGGGAACCCCAAAGAGGACTTTCCCAGTGGTCTTCCTCCATATCACCCACAATGCATATAATATATTTTTCTTTAAAATTGGAGGTTTTAGTTAGAAGAGTTTTCACGAACTTCTTCTCTCTGCTCTGCATTGCTGGGCGAAAGCGAGGGCTTTGGACAAATAAGCTCAAATGTTTAACTGTTTGTGTAATGGCTTCTGATCTTTAAGAGCGTCTATGAACAAGGGAAGATTCTATCAGATTCTGAAAGCTAAAAGCATCCTTAATATTGGTCTAACACCAGGATTGGATTGTAGGATGTTACTACAATTGTGATCCTTCATGAGCACAGACTAGCACTGAGACTCACTGTCACACTGAAGGAATTAGTCTGGTGCTCCAAGTCAGAACACAGAAGCAGTTACACCTTTCTACTTGGACCAACTACTAAGCACTAAGACTACACCAGTTATTGTAAGATGTTCAGTAATGACACAGAGGAGTGGGGTTTAGCCCTACTGTTATGTGCTTTCTGTCTCTGCAGAAGAAGTCCCACTGGCCTGGTTTTCCTTCCTTCCTTCCTTCCTTCCTTCCTTCCTTCCTTCCTTCCTTCCATCCTTCCTTCCTTCCTCCCTCCCTCCCTCCCTCCCTCCTTCTCTCCCTCCCTCCATCACTTCTCCCTCCCTCCCTCCATCACTTCTCCCTCCCTCCCTCGCTTCCTTTCTTTCTTTTTCAACTGACACAAGATGGAGTCAGTTGAGAAGAGGGACTTTCAGTTGAGAAATGTCCCTCCATAAGATTAGCTGTAGGCTCCTGGCACTAGGGGCTATGGAACTTGAACTACCATCTCCTGTAACCAGACAAGACTTCCGGAGGAGGGACTGGAATGTCCCTCAACCCAAGTACATAACCTCTGACCTACAATTAGCTCTGCCTACAAGATATGCTGGCACAGTAATTATGGGAACGGCCAACCAATGGCTGGTCCAGCTTGAGACACTTGCTGAATTCCAGGATGAGAGGCTAAAATAAAACATAATTGCTAAAAAAGAAGCCAGTGAAATGATTTTTAATGGTATTCTGCTATGCTCATAAGTTGGTGCCTAGTCCAACTGTCATCAGAGAGGCTTTATCCAGCAGCTGATGGAGGCAGATGCAGAGACCCACAGCCAAACACTAGGTGGAGCTCGGGGAATCATGCAAAGAGGTGGAGGAAAGATTTTAGGAGCCAGAGAGGTCAAGGACATCACAAAGTCACAGAATCAAGTAACCTAGGCTCATAGGGGGCCCACAGAGTTTGAACCAACAACCAGGGAGTCTGCATGAGACTGACCTACGCCCTCTGCACATATGTTATAGTGTAGCCTGGTCTTCTTGTGGGACTCCTAACAGGAGGAGCAGGGGCTGTCTCTGAGTCTGTTAACTGCTTTGGGAACCTTTCCTCCTACTAGGTTGCCTTGTCCATGCTTAATAGGAGAGGGGGTACCTAGACTTACTGCAACTTGGTAATCTGTGGCTGACATACGTGGGAGGCATGTACTTCTCTGAAGAAAAAGGAGAAAGAATGGATAGGGGAGAAGAAGTGGAGAGGTTGAGGAAAGGATTAGTAGAGAGGAGGGAGGAGGGTAAACTGTGATTGGACTTGGGAAAATAATTGATTGCATAATAAAAATAACTAGCCTATAGGAATCATAAATCCTGTTTGGCATTTTCTTGATTAATGATTCAAATAGAAAGCCCAACTCAGTGTGGGCAGTTCCATCCCTCGACTGCTGTATAAGAAATCAGGTTGAGCAAGCCACAAGGAGCAAGCCAGTAAGCAGTGGTCCTCCACGGCCTCTGCTTCAGTCCCTGCCTCTAGGTCCCTGCCTAGAGTCCTGCACTGACTTCCCTCACTGACGGATGTGACCTGGGTGATGGGAACTGAAATAAGCCTGTCTTCTCCGAGTTGCCTTTAGTCAGGGTATTTATCAGAGGGGTACAAACCTTATCTAAGACATCCAGTAACAGTTAATTACAAACATGTGGTATGCATAGTCAGATGCACAGATAGGGTAGGATCTTTAATTGTTTGCTTGAAAAACTTATGTATTTATTTACTTACTTACTTATTATGTTTATGAGTGCTTTACCTGTAGATCTGTCTGGGTTCCTGATGCCCAAAAGCCAGAAGAGGGCATCAGATCCCCTGGAACTGAACTTATAGATAGTTGTGAGCTGCCATGTGGGTGCTGGGAATTGAACCAGGGTCCTTTAGACAGGAAGCCAGTGCTCTTAACCTCTGAGCCATCTCTATAGCCTGCTCTTGAGTGGTTTTTATTTGTACGCAACATTTATCAAATGTGATATATATATATATATATATATATATATATATCTGTGTGTATCTATATGTACACTGTGTGTATCTATATGTATGTATAAGTACATATAGATATATTGTAACATATATGACCCGAACATGATTCATGTTCAACTTTAATGTCAGTTGCCCCAGGGCTTGTGTGTAGTGAACGGGCCTAGGCAGGAAGGGTCACATAAATGACTTGGTACTTCACAATACCACCTGATCCTTTATTCATCATGAAATTGGAATAAAGCCCCATAGCTGCCCAGCCATTGGTTGATGTCCATGGGAACAGGACCTCTGGGAGAGGTGAATGTCATTGTTGGGACTTACAGTATTGTGGTTTGCTTGTTAGCATTGACCCAAAAGTTTCGTTTAGAGAATGTCACCTTGAGAGAATGAAATCTATACTTTCTCATGTTGCACATGAGAAATACTGTTTTGTGAGTCTAAGAGCAGGATTATACTGAAGTTCACTGTGGAAAAAGGCGATGCTCCACAGGCGAGAAGCAATGTTTTTAGGAATATTCCCGGTTTGGCACTGAGTTGGGGTGAGCCGTCGTTATAGCCGTGTTTCGATGAGAAGATACACCACAGGTTCCAGACAGTTCTAGTCTGAGAGCAGCTTGTGAGCCCAGGCCGGCCCAGTTTGCTAGATGCTAAACTTTGACACGCATCTTCTAGCACCAGTGCTTGTGAAATAACAAGGGTGTCCGTGTCACCGTCCATTCCGGGAGGCTATCACTAGAATCATTAGTTACTGCTTAATGGAGAGGGAGGAAGTGGGTCTCCCTGGGCTTGCTGCCTTCACCCCACTCTGTGCTTTCTGTCCCATTCTTCGCACATGTTGTAAGTTTGTGTATACCACCACAGCTGCACACCACCCTCTGAAATCTGGTGGCTTCTTTTTAAACACCTCCAGGCCTGCACCCACGAAACTGCCTTCTGCTCAAGGAACTTAGGCTGTGTGCTGTGACCCAGGCCACGTGCCTCTATTTCACTCTGAAGATTGCTTAACCCTTTGTTTACAGGTCTTCCTAGCCCTGGGCTCTAATTTCACTGTGCAGCTGGTGTCTGCGGTGCTTCTGAGTGAACCTTTCTATGGACCGCCAACAATTCTCCAGGAAGCAAAATCTGTCATCCTTCCCATTCCCGAGGAAGCTGCCAATTCCCAGGTAATTGGTCCTGGGTGTAGTTCTCTCAAGCAACCACAAGAGGGCAGCACGAGCAGGAAGACTAAGGTCTTTGAGAATTAATTAATTAATTTTTACATGCTTTTTTTGTTCTTCTTTGTCTTTGTGAGTTGAGTGTAGTGAAGTTTGGTCATGTTTGCTCTCTTCTCCTTCCCTGTAATGCCGCCAAGCTGTATGCCTTACCTCCCCGCTCACTCAGTTTCCTGTCCCCCCTTTTTAAAATTTACCAAACTCAATTTGTGCTGCCTATATGTTTGGGGTGTGCCTAGTCACTGAAGCGTGGTTGACCTACCAGGAGAAGACTGTGAAAGGGATCTTTGGGGCTTGTTTGTTTTTGTTTTTAGGATTTTAAAGTTCTAAACTTTCTCAAGATTAAAACAGATCTGTGAATACCAAAGGATCCATTATTTAAAAATAATTTGCCAATTTTCAATATTAGTTAGGAGATTTATGTGCCTTTTCAGCAGTGTTGAAAGATTTTTATCTTGTGCAGCTGGTATAGAATATAAGGTTCTTTTAAAAGGACCAGTCACCTAAAGCCAAAATGTCTAAGTGTTGATGGTAAATCTTTATAATTGAGGCATTTAATGCTAAGTAACTAAAATCAGAATGAAACTGTGGATGCTTTCGTTTGCCGACAGTGTTCACGTTTAATGCCTGGGCTCTGCCTGGAACAGAGAGTCCGTGCTGGTGCACGCCAGTGCGGGTGAGCATTCTGACCGGAGTCTGCGAGTCGTTTACCGTCTCTCTGGAAAAAGATGATTCCCAGTCACTTCAAAGGCTCGCCAGAAACAAAACAAAATCCTTCCCTTTAGGTTCTTTCCAAAAAAGAAAAAAAAAGTGCTATTGGGCTGCAGCATGAGTTTTTCCAAGCTGCTCTGAGACATAGCCACGCCCCACTGCTTCAGAAGGAGCCCATAGAACAGGGCAAGCCTGGCCTTACAGGGGTGTGGCGTGGGGCAGAGGATTGTATGGGGCATGGATGTGGATGATCTGAGGTCATTAGTGGATGTCCTTCAACTGCTGCCTCCTGCACATCTCCACAGGGAATGAATTCGTTCTGCCCCTAATGGAGTCCACGAACATTACAAACAACCAGAACAGATCATACATGGTGGCACACACCTTTAATCTTAGGAGACAGAGTCAGGTGATCTCTCTGTGACCAGCTATGTCTACACAGTGTGTTCCAGGTCCAGGGCTACAGTAACCAGGGCCCTGGTTCCAGACGGAAAAGAGGCATTTTAAAGTTCCATTGCTCTCTGGCTTCCAAATTGTCTCTATGGAGCTCAGAAGTTCCCTCAGAATATCCCTGCTTGTGGATACACTCCGGAGCTCCAGAAGTGTCCTCAGAACATCCAGGCTTGCAGATGTGCCCCATCAGAACTTTAAAAGGGGAGATATGTCTTCATCTACAATGTTGGTTCAGTAATAACTAGATTTCCACTGTAATGAATGAGGCCAGGAGATGTAACTTGAGCTATTCATTCAGAGAATACAAGACTGGAAATCAGGCTGATGTCTTCTAAACCACTGATTAGAATGAACTTCAGCTCTAAATCATATACCCGGGAGGAGTTACCCTCAACACAGATTCTTCCTTGATGTTCGTGTGGAGCATAATTATTCCAGTGGGACAAATAGACAAATAGACAAACAGCAAGTGTACCTTGAGCCTCACAAAGAATGTCAAATTTAATGAAAGAACCAGAAACCTTAATTTGCAATCTTACTTCGAGGAAGAAGGAAGGGAGTGTTAAAACTGTGAGAGGCGACTCTCAGTTGTAGAGAGACTGGAAGACTCCAGTGAAGAAGCCACACTAAAATGTTCTCTAAGAACTGGCCATGTGGGTCACGTCTGTTATCTCAGCACTCTGGAAACTGAGGCAGGGAGGTTGGGAGTTCAGTGTGACCCTCAGCAATCTAGTGAGTTAGCCTCTTCAAAGGATGAATAAACGAGAGACACATAGCCACCACAAACTTTTAAAGCAATGTAATTTGCAATCTTTTGCTTTGATTTCATTTCATTATTTTTGCATTCATTTTTTAGATATTTTATAATTCAAACAATTGCATATTTAAAAAGAAAGCTAGAAAGTATAATCTGAAGGATGGGCAGAATGAAATTTCAAATGAGATTTCCTTAAGTACTTCTCTTCTGAATATGTGATCGTATGTGGGAATAAATTGTATTATCCAAAGCAGAGATACTCTTTTACCCATGTTTCAGAGCCCAGGAGCATTTAGACAGGAGTTTAGTCCTCTAAGTCTATCTTTCTTCAGGTTGGATTTGAATCCAGTGCTTTTCAACTCCTGGACATTACAGCCGGCACAAGCCAAGTCACGGTTTCTAGGAGGGGCACATACGGCAGGCTGTCTGTGTCCTGGACCACAGGCTATGCCCCTGGGTCAGACATCCCTGAGCCTGTTGTCATCGGCAACATGACGCCAACACTGGGTGAGTCCTGGCTCTTCTAGCCCAGCTGCAGGATGCTGTAAAAGTGATGGCTGTCCAGGGTCGTTCCTCCTCTGGACACGGAGCTGTGAGAGTCCCAATGCAGTGCTCCCAGATGAGGCAGTGCTCCCAGATGAGGCAGTGCTCCCAGATGAGGCAGTGCTCCTTTGCATATCTGTGGTGATATTGACTCCTTGGCGAGGAGGGGGGGAACTTTCCAATCAGATGCCCTGTCCAGTTGATGAAGACCAGGCACACACGGCTCTGTCAACTCATTAGGAATTTGTTAAAAGTCTCTTTCAGTATCCCATTTGTCTGACACAGCTTGCAGCCATCCCGTGTTCTCCAGCATTTCTGACAGATGGGCGGGCGTTACTCCACATACTTGAGTTTTACGCTGATGCCAGTAGCCCATTGAGAGCAGTAGGTGTGGATGTTGGATGGTGTGACCTCAGCTGTGGTGCCCAGAGCTCACTGCGGTTTCCCCTGGTGGCAGCTGCGACCAACACCCCATCTCCATCTCAGAACTTTCCACCTCCCCCCATTTACAGTGTTTTCCTGCTCACCAGGCAAATGTTACTGTGACTCATAAATCTCAAGACTGATAAAAGAGCTGAGATCCACATTCCCTCATTGGAATGATGGTGCTCCGAGGTTTCATTTAGCCGAGAAGCTGAATGACAACTGAAGCCCTTTAAGGATGAGAATAGGATCGCGATACCAAAGCGACTGCAGTGTTCTATCAGCTGCCACGGCAGTGAGAGTATTAGCCCTGTAGAGTGAGTTTGTCTACTACTTCATTGGAGATACCATGGCACTAGAGTTACCTTGGGCAGAGCATTTTGCATCCATCACCTAGGACCCCAGAACAAAAGTATCAGCTACTGATGGTTCCTACTTTTATTTTTTAATTTTTGGCTCATCTCATAAATTAAAGATAGTTTATTATCTTTCCTATCTGCATTCCAGCCACTCTCTTCCACACTTACTCATTGTTACTCTCCTGTCCTTTCTATCATTTGCATTGCTGTGTCCCCCATGTATAATGAGGCACTTAGGGTCTATATGTAGGAATCTTCTGATGTGTGTGTTGTGTGTGACTTTGTTTGAATGTAAATTTTTAAAATATTTTAGTGAATTTATAATAACCTCATTAAACAAAAAAGGAATTTTTATATTTTTATATACATAAATAATAAGTATGTATTTTCAAATAAGTTAGATTACTCTTTTGAGATTTTATAATATTTGAGTATTAATGAATAATAAATATAATTCCTAAATCCATTGACTATACTTAAGAGTTGTAATCTGTCTTACTCATGATATTTTCTTATAAAGTAATCTAAAATAAAACACACATATTGTGATGTTTTACCCAAATTCTTGTGATGTCAAGCTCTTAAAAAGTACAATGTCTAGAATTTAAACCACATCTTAACAGCAAACTTACAGGAAAACTTGCCTAACACAATTCTAGCCATTCTCTTTACAGTGCTTGATTTGGTAATTGGAGAGAAAGAGAGAGGAGAAGGAAAAGGAAGGAAAGAAAAGGGGAAGGAGGAGGAGAGAGGGGAGGGCAGAGGAAAGGACTGAGGGGAGGGGAGAGGGGAGGGGAGAATGAAGGAAGCAGGGACTGAGAAATAGGGCTATGTGGCCTCAGGAAATGTCTATAAATATATTTATCTCTCACTCCATTTATTAAACATTTTATCTTTTTGGAACCAAATCAAATGTTGAAAAAGAGGTCATTTCAGAATGTGTTTTAGTGTCAAATTTAAGTTTAAGAAGCTCAGGTGGCCTCTCCAGGTGGCTTAGTAGTTAAGAGTGCTGGCTGCTTTTCCCGAGGACATACAGGGCTGCTCCAAACTGCCTGTGACTCATAGGTCCCAGGGAATCCTATGTCCTCTTCTGGCCTCCGCAGTACTGCACACACACAGAACACAGACATGCATGCTGGCAGAGTACCCAGCACATAGAATAGAATTTAAAAGACAGGAGTGAGCAGTGATAAGACCTTTCTCCATCGCTCTTCTTCCAGGGAGTCTGTCCTTTCTGCATGGAGAGCGGAGGAAGGGAATGGTGCTGTGGGCGTTTCCCAGCCCTGGCCGGCCAGAGGCCTTTGTCCTTCATCTGTCAGGCCTGAGGAGCAGCACTGCAGGTGGAGCGCAGCTTCGGTACGGCCGGGATAACTTCACCATCTAGGGAATGTTACAGTATTTCCGTCAGACCTGGACAAGACACCATGAGGTGCTCTGCCCTGATGCAGACACAACTGCAGTTCTGGTGTGGAGCAATGCATGGCTTGCAGCCAGAGATGGAGGAGAGCACTTTTCCTAGCAGCCCACCTTCTCTGCCTTGCAGGGAGCTCACCTTGACCTCCAGTCTCAGAGTAGATGCTGGGACTCTCAGATTCTCTAATGATGCAGCCTCCTATTTCAAAAGGGAGCTGTCTTCTGTGGAAGAGATGCAAACTCATATTTCCCCACACCATTAAAAATACTCATAAGGGATCACAGTTAGTTAACTTGCTGAAATCAATGGCCCGTTTCTATTTAATTCTATTTAGCGGTGTTATCTATCTGCAATGACTGTTTACATGGAGCCAGTATACTTTCAGAAAACTGTGTTCTACCTAAACGCAGTTGACTTTTCTCTTTTTGGGCTTGGCCTTTGCCAGAATACCAGACAGGGCTGAGAGACACAGCAACGGACTCATGTAAGTACAAGAATGGTTACATACATGTCTGTGGATGGAGAACAGTTATCTGTAGAGACAGGTATGGTTCGATTATACATATCCCATTTGAGATAGTATTAGTCTGAAGAAAATACTTCAGGTAACAAATTTAAAGGTCTTTAACACCGATATTAATGACAAATAGGTTTCTAATGCTTACCCTAAAACCAGGGATGTCTAAGCCGCCCTGCTGTGCTACCTCTGCTATCCACTGCATATCAACATTATGTGTCCCATTTTATAAATGAAGAAAGGAACTGAGAGGTGGTATTCTAGTTAGTTTTTTATTGACGTCATAGAACGCATGCCCAAAAGAAATGTGGAGGAAGAGGTTTATTTCATATGATCTCAGTGTGGAGGTACGGCCTCTGGATTTGAAGGCACACAGGTTCTCTCGAGTGTTTCGAGGGGTGGGCAGCATGCCAAGCGCTGGAGAACTCTATGGTCGCCTTTCTGCATTACAGCAGCCCTCATGATTTCATTTTTTCCCAGATCAGACTTTGCTGCTGCTGAAATTGAACCCATGGGAGTCTTCCAGTTTTCCCCCAGTTCACGAAACCTCTCAGTGTCGGAGGACGCACAGAGGATCCGAGTCCATGTGCAGAGACTGTTTGGCTTCCACGGTGATCTGGTCACGGTCTCCTTCTCGACAAGTGCAGGCAGTGCCACGCCGCTGGAAGACTTTGCGCCCGTTCAGAATGGCCAAGTTTCTTTTGGGAGGTTCCAAGCCGAGGCTGATTTTGAAATAACCATTATTAATGATCAGCTTCCTGAGATAGAAGAAAATTTTTACATTAATCTTACTTCAGTAGAAAATAGGGGACTGAGCAAGGGTGATGTGAATTGGAGACCTCGTCTAAATCTAGATCACAGTGTGGCAGTGGTCACCATACTGGACAATGATGACCTAGCTGAAGTGGGTGTTCCTGTCCCTACGACAGCCGTGATGGTGGCACTTGATAGCACTCTTCCTGCTTCTGAAGCTGGTTCCACCACACACCCTAGCACAAACAGGGTGCCCTCCATTCCACACACCACTGAGATGTCTGCCACTGGCGTAGAGACGGCAGGTGTGCCTGCCACCCCCGACAAGCTTGTGGCCACTCCAGCTGCCTTGTCAGAGAAGCCAGACTTGGCCCCGGGAACCGTTCCTGCTGCGGTCTATGGGATACTCAGTCTTGGACCTCCTGTCGTTCATGTGGCGGAGGAAACGAAGAACGGCACCCTGAGCACTGCAGAAATCCTTATCCAGAGGACTGGTGGCTTCACAGGCAATGTCAGCGTGACAGCAAAGACCTTTGGTGGGAGATGTGTCCAGAAGGAGCCAAATGTGCGGCCCTTTCAGGATGTCTATGCAGTTGCCAACCTAACGTGGGCCGTTGAAGAAGAAGACTTTGAAGAACAAGCGCTCACCCTTACGTTTCTAGACGGGGAAAGAGAACATAAAATATTGGTTCAGATCCTCGATGATGAGGAACCTGAGGGCCAGGAATTCTTCTATGTGTACCTCACAGACCCTCGCGGGGGAGCACAGATTGTGAGAGGAAAGGACAACTCAGGGTTCTCAGACGTTGCTGTCATCATTATCACAGGTAAGGGCAGCATAGGACGGAGAACATAGAGTGCAGTGTTTGTAAGAAGAGCAGTCTATCTGAGCTTCAACCTAAGACATTTGACTCATGCATAATAATTTATTAAAAAGTGTCTTCCTTTAGAACAGACATGGTAGCACACCCCTTTAATCCTAACACTCAGGTGGCAGAGCTCTCCAAGTTCAAAACCAGCCTGGTCTACATAGTGAGTTCCAGGTCAGCCAGGGCAGCATAGTAAATCCTGTCTAAATAACAGTAGCAACAACAGCTAGTTGGCTTCCTAAAGTAATGAACTATAGCATGAATCCGTGTTTTTTAATCTAATATATTCTATGTGTTACATAGAAGGAGTCGGGTACATGGTCTGTAAGGCTGTAGCTGCACAACATAGAGAAGAGTCCTTAAATCCTCACTATTTTTCTCTAGAAAAATGCTGGGTTTGATGTCCAAACATGTGATCGCTTATCTTGTTTTGGAACCTTATATTAATTTTCTGAGCCATTTTTAGTAATCAGTCATAAAACAAAGAAGCCATTGTCAAGAAACTCTCTGTATTTGTTATGAATTAGATTAAAATTAGTGTCTTTTATTTGTTTTTGACCCAACACAATATATATAATCATTTTAGTAGTTGGATACACTCACATACATGTGCATGCACACACACAAATGTACATGTGCATACACACATACAGAGTCCTATCCATTTATGTTATATGGTTTAAAATTGTGTACGGTTTTTGATCTAATGCAAATGAACAGTTAATGCCTTGCCTCTATTTCTCCCCTTTCACATATCATATACGTGTATATATCATATGTGCACATATACACATACATAAAACAGCAGCTTACATTTTTAGTTATTTTAGGAGTTCCTCACACATCTTGATTTGGTGGTAACTCATAGTTTAGTCTTTGAAATGATGCTATATATTTCATTAGATACAGTAGATCAGCTTGTAAATAACTAAAGCAGTAACAAGACCACTTCATGATTATGTTTTATTTTGACTACATATTATCTCTCTTCATATACATGGAATGTAATGCTTAAATAAATTTTCAAATACTTAAATCAAGTTAACATACATATATAGCATCTCAAGTATTTAATGCTTCCATGGTGAGAACATCTGAGGTTTATTCTTAGCAATCTCAAAGTATACAATACCATGCTTTTAACTACCCGCATGCTGTGCGCGCTCTCAGGACTCACCGGGAGAGTACAATGCTGTCTCGATTTATGCTATCTTAGTCATTCAGCTATGATGTCATAGTAACTTCCTTTATAGTGTTTCTCCTAGTAATGTGATCCTACAACTTTTCACTAATTATAATTAATACCATTCCTATTCCAACAGTTTATTGGGAGCATTGTAAATTTTAACTCATTTCTGAAAGCGTTTTACATTGGCTTAATTGATTTGTATATTTCTAGTAAAATTAATTTGGAATTAAGCACCACCCTCACATTCTGTGGTTTAAATATTTTGCTTTATTATAGCCATACAGATATGACCACTGCTGACAGCCAAAATATCTATTAATTAGTGTGGTCTACTCAGTCTAGTGAAAATAAAAACAGTTCTTTTGAGGTTTTTGCTGTTTCAAACAGTGCTCCATTAGTTTCTGTGTAATAGAAAGGACTGTAGTCCTGGGTAGGTGGTTGGCAGAGGGCTCTTTCGTGGTCAGGATGGTTTTTGGAATGAATCGGCTTCTACATTTATCAGGCAATGTGACACGCCAAATTCTGCCCAAATACCAGTTCTGTGCCCCTCAATCGTGTGAGCATTGTGAGATTCTCTGTCACCTGCATGGGATGTTCAACCGTCTGAGCAGTGTGGGATTCTCTGTCATCGGCACAGGATGCAATAGACTCCTGTCCTTTAGTGTCAAGAGAAATAACACACCTGATACTGTCATCTGTAATGTCCACATGACTGCATTATTTTAAGGTCTTTCATTTTTTTTTATTCTTCCATCTAGTCTGTCATAACCTGGCCTTTTCTCTTAATAATATTTCTGTTTTAATTAGATCATTAACTTTATTGATTCTTCTTACCCTTAACCAGTTTTCATAATCTTTTCCCATTTAAATGTTAGAACTTTAAAATAAGTCAGGTGCTTAATCTGTCACGTCTAAAACCACCTTACTAAAAATGTAGCTCAAATTTATTGTAGCTGTGACAATAGAATGTTAGTTAAACCCCAATCTGTTGCTGTGCGAAAGAATTCCACACTGGCTCAGAATGGAATATAGTAAAGGCTTATTTATTAAGGATTAAACTCACAGAATTTAGTAGTGATCCACAGTCCTCTGCATGCACAGGGAACTGGAACCGAATCCAGCAGCCAAGGGCCTGGCAGACGCTTTACATCTGCATATATAGTACATGAGACCACGCCCAAAATGGGCTGGTATCTTCAAGGTTATTGGCTGAAGGAGTTCCTACAGCACCTATCAGTGGCTATTGCCCTACAAAGAAAACAAGGGAGTGTAAACTCCCAGGAAAGAAGAGAACCAAAGATGTATTGGTTCTCAAAGAAGAGAACCAAAGAATTGCCACCAAAGAGAAAACATTAGCATCATATTCTGATGTTCAGCTAAGAAATGATTATAATGATTAATTGATGAAAATGAGGATTGGAAATCTAGCTGATAAAAAGCATAGGGGAATGAATGTCCACGATGCGTGTATCCACGTTTTCTTACACTTCAGAGCAGAGAGATTGAGTTCGAGTTGTGTTTGAGGCTGATTGCTTTAGGATTTTTCCTTCTAGGATCATTTTGAAAGACTGGGATACTCGGAACAAGACAGCATGTACAGTAGTTAAGATACTGGCCTAATCCACATTCACTCCTGTGCCAGCTGGACACGCAGTAACTGGGTCAGCATGCTGTGTGTGTGTGTGTGTGTGTGTGTGTGTGTGAGAGAGAGAGAGAGAATATGTGAGAGTGTGAATGTGTGAGTATGAGAGAGACAGAGTGTGTGTGTGTGTGTGTGAGAGAGAGACAGAGACAGAGTATGTGTGAGTGTGTGAGAGAGAGACAGAGAGTATGTGTGTGTGAGAGAGAGAGAGGCAGAGAGTATGTGTGTGTGTGAGTGTGAGGGGGGGTATGTGTGAGGTGTAGAGTGTGAGTGTGTGTGTGTGAGAGTGTGAGTGTGAGAGAGAGACTCTGTGTGTGTGTGTGTATGTGTGTGTATGCGTATGTGATGGTTCCTATAATCTCCTATAATCTGAGCTTCTAACACAGATTCTCAGGAGTTGCATAACCATTCTCTCTCTCTCTCTCTCTCTCTCTCTCTCTCTCTCTCTCTCTCTCTTTATTTATTTATTTATTTTTTTGTCTGGAGCAGAGAAGGAAGTGTGTGAAATAACTGTCAACCCACTTAAAAAAAGGTGAATTACTTACATAGTTCATTTCCTTGACAGATACTTATTAGCCGCTAGCCAGGAGCTGGTGCTCTTGTCCCAGGAGCACAGCTGTCGAAAGACAGTCGTTGCTCTGATGGAGTTCGCTCTCTGTGGGATGCACACTGCAAATGGCTGATAAATGTGTTGTGCAATCTCCTTAGACAATCCTGTCCAACCTCAATTTGAGGACTTTGCCTCATCTTACTCTATTTTGTTTTGTCTTGTTTGGGAATAGTTTTAGGAAAAAATTATTAGAAATTATAGTTCTCCCACTTGTGAATTTCTCCTTTATCCGTCTGGGCTATGAAGACTGTTGTGGCGCTGGAGGGTCATCGACTCCTAGGTGCGTTAGAGCTCTCCGTTTTCCTTTGCAGGGAGTGACCTCCACAATGGCATCATAGGCTTCAGTGAGGAATCCCAAAGAGGCCTGGAACTGAGGGAAGGAGCTAGTGAGAGCAGACAGCAGCTAGCTGTCACCAGGCAGCCAAACAGGTAGGTGTGTGTGTGTGGGGTGGATCTGTGCGTATGCGCACATATGTGAGCATGTAGATGTAACTTTATGTACAGAATTTAAGGCCCATACAGAATGAGGGCAAAGTGAATGTTGATAGAAGGTTTTCTGCAAGCTAGTTAGTCAGTATTAATATACATTTTTATAATTGAAAGCATTTTTATTACTTGTTGTGTGGGGGCGTGCCCCTCTGATGGTATGGGTCGGTCAGAGGACAACTTTCAGTTGTCACTTTTCTTCTCCCATGGGTCTTAGGGATGACATTCAAGTCGGCAGGCTAGGATGAGTAGTGCTTTTACCAGACGAAGCACCCCACTAGCCTGGATGCTATCAATGTCCATCTATTCCTGAACACATTGGGCTTTTGACCATAACATAGAAGCGCCCAGAAGATTGTGCACACTGTCTAACTCAATGTCAGATGATTTAGGCCATCACTTTCTCAGGATAAGCACTCTGAGGTGACTGATTCTAACCACTGAGCCCCAGGGACACCGGAGCTTTCCGTGCAGCCGGATTCTGTAGTGAGACTTTGGGTCTCAGCGCAAACACATTTATGTGGATTAATGCCTCCACCTGGGGCCTATTCTCTCAAAATGTAGGACATCGTTTTGCTTCAAATGTTATGATTATAGCTGTATTTAGGAGTAGTATCATCCTCTAAAGAGATTGTTGAGAAAAAACAAATAATATCCATTTGCTTGCAGTTAGAGATTATATCTACTTTTTGTCTGCACATTTTTGTTACGTTGGACAGAAAGAATTTTACTTAACTTTCCTCACTGGTTCGTTACCGACCAGTGCGCATCAGAGAACACCATGGAGACTGGTAGCTGTAGTTTTCCATTTATTTTCTAGAAGTGCTCCGTGCTGCCAGTCTGTCGAGGAGGACGGACAGTTGGCACCCCTGCCAGGGACTGTGTCACTCTGTCACTGCTTGCATGGGTTTGTTTTGTACACAGGGCCTTTGAAGACGTGCAGGTCTTTTGGCGAGTCACACTTACCCAAACGGCTACCACTCTGCAGAAAGAAGGACTGAACCTAACAGCTGAACTGCGCTCTGTGGCAGGGGTCACGACTTGCGCAGTGGGTCAGACAAGGTGCTTCATCCACCTCGAGCTCAGTCCGCAGAAGGCAAGTGTGATGAACTGCTAGCCTTTCCTTTAGAACTGTTCACCTCAGAGCATAGTTATTGAAACTTACGCATTTTGTGGTGATTATGTTTAGCCGTAACATCCTTATTAGACCGAAGGCTTTAGATGGAAAATGGATGCCATTGTCAATTTTCACTGAGTGTGTGTTCTGTGTTTCTGTTTCGTGCCCTTCCTAGGGTACCTTTGACCCAGCCACTCGCTGTGTGTCAGACAGATCAGTATCTCTACTGACTACAGCATTTGCAGCTTTGATTGTACCATATTCATAAACATTCTTCTTCTGTTTATACATGAAGGATTTTTATTCTCTTTTCACATATCTTGGGTAGCAGAGTTTTGATTTATAAAAAGAGCCACAGAAAGCTACTTGGATAAATGAGGATTGTTCAGCTGTAAGTGCTCTGGGAGGCAGACACTGACCCCACTGCCAGGACAGTCCGCACCATTCAGACAGCATTGGCACAATGACCCAGTGCCTGTTTAATAATCTAATAAGCTTTTCTATCTACGCCCCGTGAGATTCGAGTGCTTGAATGTCTAAGGTACACTCAGTACTATTCATTCTTTGATGCATATTTATTAAGTCAAAATATGTAATAAAAAACTGTTCGCCAGTTGTGACATGAGTGTTGAAAAGCATAATGGCTTCCCTGCATGAACCCGAACTTCACATAGCAGAGAAAGCACACACGGACGTACTTGCGTGACGCTGTTCTCAACACTCCAGCCTGATTTAAGATTACGCCCTCGTAGCCTTCAGTGTTTTCATTTCTCCGTTTTTCACCGTTTGCCAAAATAGTTATTTATACTAATCCCATATAAGTCTGTCTCCATACATATTTTTGTATTTTGTGGAACTTCTGGTCGGGAACCGAGAAGGAGCACTTGGCGCTGAAGACTGAAGCTTGCTGCCCTTGGTAACTGCCGCTGTGCTTTGGTTGTGAGACCCAGCTCCTGCCTCCAGCTCTTTCACATGGGAAGTGCTTAATCCACTTGGAACACTAACTTTTTTTTTTTTATTAATTCATGCCTTCAAGGATAATTTTCTCAGTACGCTGTTTCCCAAGAATAATCTACTCTTTACACTTAGCAGTGCCAACCGTATAAAAATCCTGTTAGAACTTCTGCCAGGGTGGGGCTGCTTGTCTCTGTCTGCCCGTATCTAGGAGGGCAGCCTGCCGGAGATGGGACAGCAGCCTGCTCTTCTTCAGCCCCAGTGTTCTGCTGTGTTAGAAGAGACAACTGCCGCCCTTATTTCTGCTTCACTTGTTTTGCTTCACAGGTGGTGATCACTTTGTCCTATTTTTGATAGTTTTTGCTTTTCCTAGAAATAAATCTTTATATGCAGTCTTCTTCTTATCTACTTAAATGAACAAAGAGCAATGATGAGTTCTTTTTTTATTTTTTATTGAAAATAGATTTCTTCTCATAAAATATTTCCTGATTACACGTTCCTCTCCCTCTGCTCCTCCCAGCTCCTTCACCTTCTCTCCTTTGCATTACCACCCCTTTCTGTCTCTAATTAGAAAACAAACAGGCTTCTAAGGGAAAATAATGTCCTAATATGATATAATACAATAAAATAAATGTTAGAACAGAAACTAATACATCAGAATAGTACAAAACAAACAAACAGGAGAGAAAGAGCCCAAGAATAGGCCCCATAAACAGATAGAGATGCAGATACTCACCCGGTCACACACTCAAGAATCCAGAAAAACATAAAACCGAAAGCTGTAATATGTGTGTGTGTGTTGTTGTTTTTTTCTGTGTGTGTGTATGTGTGTACAAAAGACCTGTGCTATAAAAAATAAGAACAAAAATCTACTACTGGATATGCAGCCTGACGTTAAGAGTGGTTTTTCCCTGGAGAAAAGTAACCTTTCATTTGCAAGTGGTCATCCATTGTGGACTCCTTCCGAGTCAGGGACGGGGTGGGTGTCCTCTTCTCCTTTCAGCTCGGGGATTGCAGCTGATGCAGACCCGTGAAGGTGCTGTGCTTGCTGCCTCAGCCGCGGCGAGCTCATGTGTGTGCTGCTTCTGTTGAATTAGAAGGCCTTGTTCGTTGAGTGTCCTCCATCCCCTCTGACTCTTTCAGCCTCCTCTTTTGCAGGATCCGTTCCCCTGATCCTTAAGGGGAGGGATTTGATGGAAATATCCAATTTAGGTCTGGCTGTGGCTTTCTAGTTTGAGGTTCTTGGTCACCCAAGCAGTGTTGGTTGGGTATGGGAATCTTCTTGTGAAGTTGGCCTTGAGTCAAATCAGATACGGGTTGGTTACTTCCACAAGGTTTGTGCCACCATTTCCCTGACATATCGTGCAGGTAGGACACCAGTGGGTTGTTTCCATTTATCCTTTGGTATGTGTGGAGTAATTTCCTGTACCAAAGATGCTAGAACGTAAGGCATCAGCTAGACTTCTCTATGTTCAATGAGTTGTATAGGTATTGTTTTCAACACTGGGGCCTTGTCATCAGTTTATGAGTCTTGGCAACCACCTTGCTTGTTTGGGGGATTCCATGGGACAGACTGCTTTGGCCAACAGTTCAGTTAGATGTAACACATTCCTAGTACTGGAAGCTTCATTTGGTGGCAAGAGATGTCCACTTGGGCTCTGTCTCCCCCATTATTTGGTGATTTCATTTAGATTGTGTGTGTGTGTGTGTGTGTGCGCGTGTATGTGTGTGTGTGTACGTGTGTGTGTGTGCGTGTGTGTGTATGTGCACGCACGTGCCTATGTACTTGAAAACTTCTACTGTACTAGGTTCCCATACTATTCCTCAAATGGCTCTTAATTTCTACTGTCCCTCCCCATATTCTCCCCCTCATCTCCCTCTTCTCTTCCCCTTCTCACCTGATTCTCCTATTCAGGTCACCCCTGTTCCAGTGTGTCCATAAAAATTCTATATCTATTTCCAAGGGAGTGCTACCTGTGCCCCTAGTACCTTATTTTGTATGTAACCTCTGTGGTTCCGCGGACTGTACCTCATTACCATTGTTTTAACAGCTAATATCCGCATATAAGTGAGCACATAGCATATTTTTGATGACTGTTCCTTAATAAATGAGCACATGTTTAACAGAAGTCCCCATATCTCTATATTTTCATTCTCCTACATATTAACATTAATAAAATAGTAAGTATTCATTAATGCCACACAACTTTAAAATTTTTTTATTTATTATTTATTTATTATTGCTGCTTGCCACTTCACTAACATGGAAGCCGGAGAACAACTTTGTCCAGTAGTGTCTCTCGGTTTGTGACCTTTTGATTGGATTCCTCTCATGGAACTCAGGCTGCTTGGCTTGTGTGGCGTGGCTAGTGTCTTTACCTGCTGAGCCATTTCTCCCATTTCTCCAGTATTCACAAACACTTTTTTAGACGTTATATTTTGATTCTACTGTAGTATCACTTGTAACTGATTTTAGGTCCTCACTGAGCTATAGTTTTGTTTTTTTTTTAAGTTGAATAATTCTCTTGTGGCTACTAAACATATCATTAGCTTTTATCTTTGTATTACTTTTAAAGTTTTGGAAGTGTATTTGCCTTATGGTGGTTTTATGCTTTCAGAGTCATCCCAATTTTTCTTTCTTTCTTTTTTTTTTTTAAAGATCTATTTATTTATTATGTATACAACAGTCCTTCCATATATACTTGCATGCCAGAAGAGGGCACCAGATCTCATTACAGATGGTTGTGAGCCACCATGTGGTTGCTGGGAATTGAACTCGGAACCTCTGGAAGAGCAGTCAGTGCTCTTAACCTCTGAGCCATCTCTTCGAGAGACAGCTCAGGGGGCAGAGTGCCCGACCCTCTGCCCGAGGACCAGAGTTCAATTCCTGGCCCGGCACACGGCATGTAGTTCCATATACCATCAGTCAGCACCACCCCCTGGAGGCCTGCAGAACAACCCTCACACACAATCTCCCACTGTCCACCATAGATCTGCGTAGAGTAGTAGGCAAAACAAACAAACAAGAAAACCCATTTTTCTTAATCTGAGATATTTAATCAACTCTTGCCCAAGGTTCAAAAAATTGTTTGATCATAAAGCATTTTAGAGATTGATGTTTATGAATTACAAGGGAAGTGATTTTGAGCAAGTGTCCAACTACTGTGGCTGATTATAGCTAAAAAATCTAACATTTTGACAAATCTAGAGTCCTATTTTAATATTTTCCATGCTATAATTGCGTTTCACTTTGCTTCGGTGGGGCTTCCATCAGCTGTTAGCACAGCGCTGTGTCACGCGGCCGTGAGGAGCCGCTGCTTCACTCTTCAGGGCATGAGCTCCTGCACTGTACACGACAACACTCCAGCCACATTCATCCTTCAAACTTTTCTCGACGATGCCCACAGACTGAAAGGAAGTTAAGCAGAGGCTGGCTGCTCTGTGCTTGTCCTCTTTGCAGAGGGGGCACCATGTTGGAGACGATACAGAGGATTCTAACTGCACTGAGACTGGCTCCTAACTCCATGGTTCTCAGCCTGTGGGTTGTGATCCCTTTGGGTCACAGGGGCCACCTAAGACCATCTGAAAACACAGACATTTAAATATTTACAAAAATTGCAGTTATGAGGTAACAATAACATAACTTTATGTGGGGCCACCACAACATGAGGAAATGTGTTAAAGGGTGACATCATTAGTAAGGTTGAGAACCATCGTCCTAATTAGAGCAAGGCCCTAAGACTGTATTTAAGTTGTTTTGGATAGGTAAGAAAGATAAAATATTCAAATATTTTGTCTTCTTTGTCTTTCCAGCTATTAAATGGCAAGGTTGGCATATTCTTATATCAGTCAAAGGAAATTTAAACCAAGAATGAGCTGAAAGTGGAGACACGGATCTTTAATTCAAGGTCTCCAGTGCCTGAGGCATGAAGAACACAGTCTGAGTCCAGGCTGAGTGATAGACCCGATCTCAGGAGTAAAGGAGGGGGTGTGGCTGTGTTCTTAAGAAGAAGAAAACAATAAAACACTATAACCTGCTATGCATTTTCACAAGTTATGCTTTATTACTTAAAATGGATTTGGCTCTTCAAGTTTGGATTCTATTTCTCATAAACTGAGAACTAGCAGTATGTGCCAGGAAGCAGCAGCCATGATTTTTTGCAGTGAGGTTGGGAGCCTATGTGGATGTGCCAGCGGGCAGATACAATTAGTCCTAACCTTCTGGCCTCAGAACTGTCTGCAGTGCTTGCCAGGGAAATGGTTTCAGTCCCAGAGCTTGTTCAGCAGTCTGTACGATAGTTCAGACTAAGCTCTGATGACAGAAGTCCTTGGTTCAAATCTTAGTTTGACCACTAATTAATTAGGTAATGCTGGATGGGTTGTTTAGCCTTGCTCAGCTTCGTAAGGTTAACCGGGGTTAATAAAAGGGCCGTTAGGAAGAACAAATGCGATGATAGTGAATGAAGGTTAGTAGTGCAGTTCTTGGCAAGGAATTGACCCTGTGAGACGATTGATGGTGTTCTTACTAAGAAGGGCTGGGCCGGGAGCCTGAGGGAGTCTAGACTTCTGCAGTAGCTGCAGCAGTACTCACCAAGGTTTGCAGAAAACACATCTGTCCATACAGTGACACAAGGTTAAAGTGCCATCTCCTCGGTCCAGTTTCTTCACCCTCAACTTTAAAACCTTTTTCCTGTAGTCAACTGATCATTTATTCAGCCCGTTCATTTTCAAGTTATGAAGAATTTAACTGACTTGCCTAATCAACTTCTTAGACAGGTTAGAACCCATCTTTTGAATTTCAGTCAACTCTCCCTTTTCCAGATGATTTATTTCATGGTTCTACATTAACAAAATATATAAAACAAGATTTAGCTCAAGAAGGAGGATAATTTTGACCTTAGAAGGAGGTCTCAATGAGGTCTAGATTAGATTGGCATATAGGTGCACCCGTGAAGGCTTTTCTTAAATCTATTAACTGAGGTAGGAAGAGCCACCTGGAAGGTGAGCAGTACCTCTGTGTAGGCTGGTCCTAGACCGATGAAGATGAAAGGAGGCCCTAAGCGCTAGTGTGCACGCACTAACTCATGCTTTCTACACCGACTGTGGATGTAATGTCCCTAGCTGCTCCACGTTCTTACCTCCTTGACACTGTCTCCATGATGGATTGTAACTGGAACTGTGAGCCAGAAGCCCCTTTCGTTCTCAACTTGCTTTGTCAACTTAATTTATTATAACAACAGTAAAGACCCAAGACAGCAGGCACGCTCTTACCCCGCTAAATCTATTTCAACTAAATGAAACATTTTGACATTGGTGCAAATTTCCTTTAGAAAAATATTTAGGTAAGATATTGTTTTGTTTTTACTTCTCTGCTTCTGAGCAGTTCTGAGCCCAGAGAGAGGAATTTGATACTAGTTAGGGAAAAAGGTCACCCTGAAGTGCAACCGCCTCCCTAATAGAGGGGCCCGCTGCAGTTAGTGTGCAATGGTTCATGAGAGGTCTCCCATCATGTTTAAGTCTGGAGAGGTTCAGATATGATCTTTCAGTCTTATTTCTCAATAGAATTGTTTGAATAGAGCATTTCTTTGTCTGACTAGAAGATTCCTTTGTCTCTAGTCTAATTATATGTAGGCCCCCATCTGTACACTATTCAATTTTTAGATAGTTCTTTACTTAGATTACAGCACATTCTTTTGATGGTAAATGGCTATAAGTAATGTTCTAATCATCATCACAATGAAAAAGGAATATTTTACTGGAAAATAAAGACAAGAGTGTCTATTGGAATTTAATATGCCAAATCCTTAGTTCAAAGAGACTATTGTTCCCATGGCCATTAAGGATATTAGCTCTTGAGTACAGTCGCCCTTACTTTCTCTACTGCTTCAACTTTGTGCATTTGCCAACTATTGTTTCTTTATGTGGAAAGAATATACTTATTTCTACATTCTATCATATACTGACAGCATATCAACAAACTAAAGAATGTTATGTGTTGTTGGAGAGCTAAACATATTCATGACATTGAAAATGGGATTAAGAACATTTCCTTAAAAAAAAAAAAAGGAGCATTTCCTTTATGAAAGATAGAACAAGATAGAACGTTTTTGGGTAATACTGAAGGATTTGATGTTTGTTTCGTGACATAATGATTATTATTTAAATGATCATGAAGAAATGATGGATTAGGCTCTTGCTGGCACATAAAAATATGCCTAATGTATTATTAGACAGTGACACGTGCACGTGAAAACACATCAAGTCACATTTAGCAGGATATGCCAAGATGCTAACAGACACTGCTAAATGTCTCAGATTTTATTTTGTAAGAATAAATCATTTGTAATAACAGACGATTGAGAATGTGTTATGAAGAACAATTCAGGCTTCAGAAAATGAATGATTTCAGGGGGAAAACAAGGCTGTAGCATGAGCAGAGTTAATTTTGATTTGATACAATGTATTTCAAGAATTTGAAAATTACATGAAATTACAGAATTTGTTACCAATATCTCCTCATATTTGTTTACAATTTTAAAAACTTAAAAACTCTTGGACGGAAGTTGAGGCTCAGATGGCAGAGCTTTCCTCACACAAGCAGAGCCCTGGGTTTGGTCCCCTACATCATGTAGCTGGAAACGGTGGTGCACACCTGTAATCCTAGCACTTCAGAAGTGGAGCAGAAAGAGGGTCAGGAGCTCAAGGTTATCCTTGGATACACTCTGAGCCCAAGAGTAGTCTGTGCTGCATGAGACCCTGTCTCAATAGTACGTCAAGTAAGTAGATCTTAGGAAGCTGAATTCTTCTTCCGCTCTTTTCTTGTTCAGTCTGTGTTGTTGTCCAACTCCACGCTCGGCCCTGGTTTCCACCTGACGTCACTGTTGAGGCAGCTGCTATCATGTGTGATGTTCTGAGTTTTGACTATTTATGTAAATATTGTTTAACCACATGAAATAAACATTGTAGTGTTGCTATTTTTATACTTAAGGTATCATATATATGTATATAATTATGCAATCTTTATGAAACCTGATGTTTTTTTTTATTGCCATGTTTTGAGATCTACCTATTTGGAAAAATATTTGAATAGTTTTTGCTCTCACTGGTTTTAACTAGCAGGTTGTCTGAATGTGTTTTATTTAGTCAACATTTGCTTATTGACTTTAAGTCCATCGTCTTTGGATCTTGCCTTAGGCAGGGTTCTGTTTCTGGGAAGAGACACCACGATCAAGGCAACTCTATGAAATAAAGCGTTTAACTGCGTGGCTGACTTGCAGTTTCCGAGGTTTAGTCCATGATCATTATGGCGGGTAGGCAGATACTGGAGCTGAATGCAACATTCTCATCCATAGACAGAAAGAGAACGCCGAGGTCTAGCATGGGCTTTTGAAACCTCAAAACCCACCTCTAGTGATACAGTTCCTCCAATGAGGTGACACCTCCCAATCTGTCTGGTCCTTTCAAGTCACTCACCTATATAACTAAGCATTCAAAAACATGAGCCCATGGAGGCCATTCTTATTCTAAACACCACAGATGTTCATGTTACAGAGACAAGCTCACTTTCAGGAAATGTAGTTTTAACGAAAGCAGTAAGATAAGAATAGCCAGGTCCCAAGCAGCCCAGACAGGTGGGTGCCACTACGAACAGGTGTGTGGTGGAGAAACAGGGGAGAAGGGAAATGGAGCGGTTTGTGTGCCACGGAGAGAATCCCAGCTGAGGATGGCAGTGAGGAACAGGCTGATATGGACGGCCGATGTGGCCACCTGAGCCCATGTGATGTCTGGGCTGGGTTACTGTCGAAGGCCATGTCTGGGTCCATGGCCCCACTGTGACTGGGGTCTGTGTTGGTGTCCATGGCCCATGGTACTATCGAAGGCCATACGGATGCCTGAGGTCTGGGCTATCACCTGGGCCATGTTGATATCTGAGGGCCATATTGCCACCAGGTCATCCTAATATGAGTGTCACCCAAGGACATGGTGACATGTAGGCCAAGTAGCAGGCGAGGGCCATGTTTGGAAGAGCTGATCCCACCCCTTACCATCCTTATGGGAGAACCGGCCCTGACCCTTGCCCGAGGGGGATGGTCCTGGTGGAGGCTGGACCTACTAACTCAGCTGCACACCCATACCCAGGCCCCTGGGTTGACCCACCCTAGCATCTACTCCATCTGTGACTGCTGGAGCATGTGGAGTGTAGAGCCATAGCCGCAGGATCTCCACACTGGGGCAATAGCAGGGTATCCAAGAGAAGTTCCCGGGAGTGCCCGGTGTTGATGGTGCAGCAGAAGCCGGAGGCCTTGAACTGGCTACTACTCACTGCAATGAACATTTGCAAGTAGAGCTGTTTGCACCAGAGTGCTGTACACACAGTGTACCTCCCAAAGCCACGGCTGCAAATGAATCCGTGATGCAGAGGCGGGGAAGGGGAGGAGCGAAGTGGTTTTCTTTCTTTTCTTTCCTCTTTATCCTTTTTCTTTTTCTTTTTTTAATTTTCTTTTGTGGGGTCAGATGCGAGGATGGGAAGCGGACATGGAAGAAACTGGGAAATGGGTGCAATTGGAGTGCATGATAGGAAATCCTAGCATCAATAAAAATTATGTTAATAAAAATAGTTGCCGTAGTGATTTCATAGAAGAATTTGGTTCTGTCATTATATAAAATTCATCCTTAAGTATGTATTTCTTTTTAATATGTTTTAAATTGAAATGGAATTATATCAGTTTTTCCTCCCTCCAACCCCTCTCATGTTCCCCTCAACTTGCAAGTTGATAACCTCTGCTTTCTTTGGTAATTATTGTTGCATATATATATATATATATATGAATATATGCTGCTATGCTGTAGATGAACTATAGCATTATAGCATGTTCTAGTGACAGAAATTTGTAACAACAGAAGTATGTTTGTAATAGCTAAATCTTTCTTTTCCTCACTCTTAGGTGCCTCACACTGAAACACATTTTTTTGTGGAGCTGTATGACGTCACTGCTGGGGCAGCTATAAACAACAGTGCCAGATTCGCTCGGATTAGAGTTTCCAGGCCGGATGGACCCCAGGGTCTTATTTCCTTTTCTGTGGGATCTCGGCTGGCAGTGGCTCAGAAGAAGGCTACTTTGATCAGTTTGCAGGTGGCCAGAGATTCTGGGACAGGAGTGATGATGTCTGTTAACTTTAGTACCCAGGTGGGCATGAAAAGGAAAGCCATGTGTGTTCAGATTCTTTTCATTCATAAGGAGTACAATGAAACAATAATCTAAACAATATTTTATCTGAGGATACCATGATACCTTGCTGTTTATTTAACACACTGTTTTATCATCTTATCAGGTGAGTTTCTGTCTCGTAACTAAGATATCATGTTTTAAAATTATAGGCTTTCTGTTTGGATTGCTCTGTTTGGCAGAGCTATGTCTGATGCCAGATACCACATGCAAATCTGCTCCATCATGTCTCTGGGGTCTTAGCAAATGCTTCCTCTACGAAACTTGGACAAAAAAAAACAGAGGTTACCCACAACTTATATTTGAACTAGTTCTGTTTCTTTTCCCCCTCTCAGTCCTTAAATACTAACTGATCTTATGTGTTGTAGAGCACTGGCTTTGGGGCTCACTACCCTTCCATCCTTCCATGTGGTGTGCAGTGCAAGACTAGCTTATGGGGGCCCAGGAGAGGAACACTGAGCGCAAGAAGAGAGCAGGGCCTGCGTGCTCTTCTGTTCTTTGTTTCTAATACATTAAAAAAAAATGTTACTTATTTTTCTTGAAGCATGATTGTGGAGATTATAGCTTGCCTATTTTGGCCCTCTGTGTTTTCCCCTTTACTTCTTTAGCACTAGGAATTAAATAGATAGGAAACTAGAACTGTGCACAACATTGCTATTCACCCTATTTTAAGCCTCCATGTCTGGCGATCTAGGCCTCAAAGTCTTATTCAATATTCTTTGTAGTGTGGCTCATGGGGCGCAGTGTGGCTCATGGGGTGCAGTGTGGCTCATGGGG